TGGGTCCAAAATTGACAATTTTTGGCTTTTCCTGCTTTTATGCTTATTAGAAAGCTGACATTCTGACCTATCCAACTGTACAAAAATCATCTCTGTACATTGATTTATGCGTTTACGACTGATCACGAAATAGTTACCTTTCGTGGAGTTTTTCACAAATCCTTACTGGAAATATTAACAAAGCCTGCACATATAAGCCTGGTCTGACGGCCTTCAGCTTAGGTAGGGTAAAGGGCTAAACACACCATATTCCGACACCCCTCAACTTTTTCCTTTATATTAAGGATGTTCTTAGTTCCACGCATGCGTAGATTGTCGAAATACTGATGTCATACTATTGCGTGCCAGATTTCCACAAAACACTAGGTCTGGCAGGAAAATGTTGAGATCTGCAGAGCAAAAGTCCAAGTCAACTAGTGAGAACATTGAAACACGTATGAAAGTTCATAGTTGACCTTGCTTTACTAAATAGTGATAAACTGTTATGTAGAAAGAATATTATGGTTTGAGACTTTTAAGGGGAGCATCTAGGGTAAAATTTATCTTGGCTATTTAAAGACGGATCACTCTGAAACTTGCTACACAATGCAAAACAGGAATCTAAGACTTTTTTGTTCATGTGAATTTTTCGAAAAAAATTAAAGAAAACGTGAAAATCTTAGAAAACGGTCAAAAAGGGGATACCGTAGAAATCTATCTCCTCCTGGATTTTCCAGCTAAAAATCAACGTACAGAGATGGTAATGGTACCGTTGGATAGGCCAGAATGTCAGCTTTAAGATGAGACTAAACACATAACTGCAGCACAACTCAAGTAGACACTATATTTAAAGAGCTCAGCAGCTAATTACTTCTTATCTAATTACTTAAAGAACCCCTGCACCCGCCCCCCTTTCATGAAATGTTGTGAAATCATAAATCAACATACAGAGATGGCAGTGGTACCGTTGGATAGGGCAGAATGTCAGCTTTAAAATGAGTATAAAAACTGAAAAAGTGAAAATTTCAAATTTTAGGGTAGATGCTTCCCTTAAATAAGTCTGTGAATATATTAGGAATCCTTTAAGTATACTTGAATATGCTGATTTTAAGTGGTAAATAAATTAATAGATGATTGATTTAAGAGACGGTTTTAGACACATGAAAACTAATTCCAACATGGTGTTGGAATTATGACACACAGCCGTGACACAGGGTATCATATTCTGACACAGCTCACACAGGGTGTCGGAATTCCAACACAGGGTGTTGGAATTACGAATTATGATTTTGAAGTGCTGTCGGAATTAGTCTCTCAATATGCTGCAATTAGTCACACACAGTGTCGGAATTCAGTTATTTTGTATATTTGAATTCTAAAGGCTTTTAAATAAATATGGCAACAGTTTGTGACATTTCATCATTGCTGGCACGTCGTGTGGTTAAAGCTTAAAAGACCAATCGATAGATATGGTCTTTACATATTGATTGATATGCATCTTGGTGTTGTAGCTTGAAAATCCTTGGAGGAGATAGTTTTCTATGGTAGCCCCATTTTGTCCGCTTTTTAAGAATTTCATGTTTTCTTTAATTTTTTTTCAAGTTACACGAACAAAAAAGTCTTTGATTTCTGTTTTACACTTGTATATAAAGTTTTAAAGTGATCTGTCCATATATAAAAAAGTTTTTTTCCGGGACCCTGATGCACCCCTTAACACTTTGACTGTGATGTGCGCCATATATGGTACACGCATGCATGTTCCAAGCTGCGATGTGTGCCATATATGTCGCACTCTTAAAAATTTTAGTTTTTTAAAAAAGCTCATGTTTTCAAAAACCTATATGAACGTCGTGCAATCAAATCATAAGAATCTTAGTAGTTGGAATGTAGCCTGAAATAATGAGTGGGTACAAAAAAGAAAAAGTATTAAATAAAGGGGGTTATCCTGTTCCAATATGTTGAAAATCATTTTTTCGGTATTGGTATGGATTATAGCAGTAGAAAAATAAGTATTAGTCATTCAAAAGTTGCCTAAGCTCACACAGAAACAGAATGGCACTGTAAAAAGCAAGATAAGCAGTGTTACGGATTCCGAGTACTGGGCTAGCAATTGATAGTTACTTTTCTAGCTTTTTGTCTCACTTGAGCACCAACTAACTTCCTTTTTTTGCCATTATGTTAAAGCAAGACTCAGATCAGTAGCTTGTCATGGCATGAAGTCCAGATCCTCAGCTTCAAATACTTTAGAGCTGGAATGCCAACACCTAAAATCATTGTGATTTGGTTATAGAAACATTTCTTCACGTGTCTGGCCTATTACTAGTGAAAATACATTCAGTAATCTTCAACAACTTCAGCAATTCACATCAATTTTTACTGACTATAGAACCTGTCTCTTATACACATCTAGATGTGTATAAGAGACAGCTCTAGTCTATATATTTTTCACAAACAATTTATATATCATTTATATATATCATAATATTTGAAAAATTAATACAAAATTAGAGGCAAGCACCAGAGAACAACTCTTCAACATTGTNGCACGTTGCCTAGAAAGATGAAAGTTTCCATCCCAGGTGACATGCACCAATAGAGGCTCATGGTTTTTATGTCAGAAGCTTGTAGAACTCGCTCAGACAGGAGCAGCGCACTAGCCCTGATCTCACTGCCTTGTCTGTAACTTAAGTTATTCAGGTTTGAATGGGTCGCACCACTGGAATACAGGCTATTTTGCGAGTCGCAGTCAAAGTGTTAAAGCATGCAGAGTGTATTCATCCATTACTAACAGTACTCTGAACTCCTCTTCTTTTGTAGACGATGTAGATGTAGAATAAATGTCATTTTGTGATTTTTACCTGTTTTTCTTTTAATTGATAGATACCGGTATGATATTACCATATCCACACATAACCATATTATTGATGTGAAACCGGGGCTACTCGGGACAGATTTGAATGATTAGTTTTAAATAACAGTTAATAACTTCTTACGATGAAACATTTCATAAACAAGTTAAGTCTCATTTTATAGCTGATTGGCAGGGCTATCGAAGATGTGTATAAGAGACAGAGTATGNTGTCTCTTATACACATCTAGATGTGTATAAGAGACAGGTTGTAACTTTACAAAACATAGTTTTTCACCATTTTTTTCAGGAATTTTTCAAAGCAAGTAAATGTAGTATTTTTCGACTTCCTTTATACTAGATAGATAGGAAAAATAGTTACGTTTACGCCACTATTTTTAGTTTTGTGATATTCAAATTAGTTTCGCTACTACAACAGTTTTACGCCGTGTCATAGGCCTGTCCTGAGTAGCCCCGCCTGTTCCGAGTAGCCCCGGTTGACGGTACTGTTTCAATGGACATGCCATTGAGCATTGATGACCTTGTCCACTGTAAGCTTCATATCAGAGGCTGTATAGAATTTTTTCTGTATCTGTAAGCATACAAGCATGGAAAGCATCTACCTTTAGGTCCTCAACTAGAGCTTTCCTGCCATTTCTGGAACCACAAGATTTTTGCCAGATGAATTACCTCCTATCTAATTGTTGATAAAAATGCAAGATCAGGCCGTGAGATTACAAATGTATTGAAAGTTTGTCACGTTGGAGCTGCAAGAATTCAGAAACAAGTAGAAAAATTACAATCCTGTAAGTTTACAGGATGGCTTGTAATTTTGCACCATTCTAATTGGGTCAAGTGAATTCACTATAACAAAAAAAAGATTGTAAAACATACATGAAACAGAAAGGAATATTTTAGTGATAACATCATAGTTTTTGGAAAAATGATTCATACTTTAGGGGTTAATTACATTCCATTTTATATTACCTAGTGTGCAATTCTATGTATGACATTCTATGCATAATTTTGTGATGACCAATGATGCATTAATTTTTCATTAAGTGAAATTTTTTCACTGAGTGAGGTAAATGTAATCAAAATTCTTTGTTGTTAATTGTTTTTTTTTTTGTTAACTGGAGCCTCTGCCAACTGACTTCTTGTTAACAGGAGCCTTTGCTAACTGATGTTCTACTGTAAATGCATTTTTAGGGGTGTCCCTTATTGCTCTCCTTTTTAGCGCATTTTCTCATTCTTGGAAAAATGATGCTATTGTGCTCATCATGGCCATCTGCATGTCTGTGACTTCATGTTTTCGTTGATGAGAAAATTGCACTCTCACTCACTGCAGTGAGTACTGATCTAATTTTTTATAGATATTAATTGTATGATTTCTTAACTTGCTTTATGCTACATAGATAGGAAAAATGTTAAACTTCACACCACCATTTTTAGTTTTGCAATATTCCAATTGGTTAGTTGCTACAACATTTCTATGAAATGTTGTAGGACTGTCCCAATATACCCTGCCCGTCCCTTATTGCCCTGTTTGACGGTAATTGTTTTCCACTCTAATTGCTGTAGAAGATCCCCCAAGGCAAAAGCCCAAGCTTGTGTCTGGTATTGAAAGCTTATGTGTGGCATATGTGTATCATTTTTGCACAAATTTTGGCACACATGTACCATTTACACTTTATTCTTAATTTACAATGGATTACACAAAACACAATGATAAGACAATATGATCAAAAATTGTAAAATCTTTGTGGTGAATGCATAAATTAGCTAAAAAGCTGTGCAGTCAACATAGGTGGTGACAGTCAAGTTGAAATTCTGTTACTGATTTGTGCCCTAAATTTTTATCCATCTTATTTTTGAAGCATATTCAATTTCATGAAAAATAAATCTTCATTGTCTGTGAGAATAGAATTTTGTTTCTATGTTTCTGTTTTTTCTCTATGATGACTATATAATTAATTTGTTTGAAATCTTAACATATGTAGGTTACCAATTAAGATATAACCCAAAAATTTTTTGCTACATTGTTATGAATGTCCATTTGAATTTTCATATTAAATTACTTCATTGATTTTATTCTTTATATTTTATGTTCTCAGTGTTACATTTTGCAATTTTGGATTTATTTTGTTAAACAATGCATCAATTTGGTTTACAGAAATGTTCGCAACATACAAAACCTGAACCTCCGAGAGTTGGAAGCTCGCGTGCCATTTGCTCAGTCATGGCACCAACAGTATAAAGACAGTGCCTGGATATTTATTGGAGGTCTGGACTATGACCTCACTGAGGGAGACATTATCTGTCTTTTCTCTCAGTATGGAGAAGTGGCTAACATCAATTTGGTATGTCTAATTTTATTTCATTATCCTAATAAATGCTTCTTTAGAATAACATCGCTTACAATTTTCGATACAATGTAGCATACTGTATCTTGGATTGAATGACACACAACATCCATTGTAAATAGCATTGCAAACAAAAATATTTCAAATAATATAAATCTTTAAAATAATATGTTTTCATTGATTGGTTATTGCCCATTAACTGTGATCAGCCCTTTAATAAAATAAAGAAAGAGTAAAAATAGAAGTTCTTATAAACTGTGAATCTTTTGATTTGTTTGTTGTGAGATTCTTATGAGTTCTAAGACACAGATACTAAAAGAGATGTTCTTCCAGGTGCGTGACAAGAAAACTGGCAAGAGTAAAGGATTTGCCTTCCTTTGTTTTGAAAATCAACTCTCCACTGTTCTTTCTGTAGACAACCTCAATAGCATAAAGGTAAGAAACCTTAAATTTTCACTGCTGTTATTCTAGTGTGTTTGATATTACTTATGCTGAATGCATTTAAATTTTTTAATTTTGTTGTGGTCAACAATTCCCATTTTGTATTTGAACTGTGGGATTTGTGAGAGTTTCACTGAAAATGAATTCAATTCTTGCATTTGATTCTAGTTTTTTTGATGGGATGGCAGTAAAACAATATGCATTTAAAAAGTACCTACTTTTTAATGACCACATTTCTAAAGAGGCCAGCATCTCCAATGTTACACATGTAGTTTGAACTTATTTTATTTTAAAATATTAAAAAAAAAATTTCTAATCATTTTTTTATTCTGCAATTGATTCATGCATTGTCTCCAACTTTACAAAATTGTGCAAAATTCCAGATCAATTGGACAGGTAGAAGTGTGTAAATATCAATTACAAGATTTGTAGCAGACAGACAACAAGAAGTGAAGTTAACGCATCAAGTGCGGCACGACTCACCTGTGGGTTGTACCACCAATATGAAATACGTATGCCCCAAATACAACATAGCCACACTTAAGGAGTTATTTAAAGAGAAGTGTGGTAAATTAGATCACAAGCATTGTTATTCAGAGTTAAAATGCACTTCTCATCATTCAAATGATAATTTACCATAATTTGATTCATAATATAATTTTATTCTTGTTATCAGCTGTGTGGGCGTACCATCCGTGTGGACCACGTGGAGGAGTACAAGGTGCCCAAGATGAGAGAAGACATGGCACCTGAGCAGCAGAAGTTAGCACTGGAAGGCTGTGCCCCACAACCCATTGCACCTTCACATAATACCAGCATGTCTGCTGAAATGGAAATAGAAGGCAGTCCTGATTGTTCTGACCGCAAGAAACTTAAAAAAAGGAAAGAAGAGAAGCACAAGGACATAAAAGGTAGAGTCAAGGAGGAGCCAGCAATGTCTTCTGATCAAAGCTTCCCTAAATTGACTGGCAGCGTGGTGGACGGTGTACTGCTGCCTCCCAGACTGCTACCACCCACACTGCTACCAGCTCCAGCCATCAAAGGTAATGTGCTCATTTTCATCACACAGTTGCAAAGAGTTTTTTTTTTCAAAATCTCTCTAGCGGGTTTGCCATTTTGCATGCATTTCGGCACAGTTGTGGCAATTTATTCTTTAGTGAAAGTTCTTGCTTGTAACCAATCTCAGACACCACCAGCTAGCTAAACCTGAACAAGGTTGGCATCTATATTTAATTATCCATCACTATCAAAAGGAAAACTGTTATGCATGGAAACAACGTCAAACCTTGTCAAGGTTAAGCTAAGATTGACCTTTAAAATCTAGTTATATCATATTTAAATTTGTTGTATAAAGCCCTTTCTTTAGTAAGCCGCTTTAGAAAGCGTACAGAATTATAGGAGCCCAAAAAGGCGTAACAATCAGAATTGACATGTTGTAGATTTATAATTACATATAACATTATTTACAGGATCAAAAAGCAAGTTGAAAAAGTCTAAAAAGAAGAAGAAAGATCGCAAAAAACAGAAGAAGAAGAATAAGGAAAAGAAAAGTAGACGCGACTCATCAGATTCTAGTTCCTGCAGCTCGTCAGAAGAGGACGGTCCAACTGCAGCGACCACGACGTGAGTTCTGATCTGCTCATAATATGGAGACACATTGTTGATTGAACCGAGTTACTACTCGAGTTGCGTTTGCAAATTGCTCCCGTGCTGCAGTGTGATATGTGAAGAGTTAATACGTATTGTTATTTAATATTCATCATTCGCTTATTTATAATTATCATTCAGCAACTATTAATTATAAATGAAAATTCTGTTTGGAAGCATTTTTTAGCTAACCACACATCAGGCTGAAGGATTTTACAGTCCCATTACAATATCGTGTCTAGAAAATAATTGCAAGTTTTCTTAATTTTTTTTCCTTGCAGGCATCAAAGTAAAAATGCTGATGCGTCACAACCAGACATCCGGATCAAATCTGAACCTCCTAGTGATTTTGAAACTGATTCTAGATGGAACAACGAAATCGACCATCGTGATCGTTGGAAGAATTCTTCACATTTACACAGTGATCGAAGTAGAGATCCATCAAGTTTCAAAAACGAACGAAGTCTAACAAGAGATTCGCCCTGCATGAGCGATGGTCGAAGGAGCAATAGCCACAGCCTTAGAGATGAAAGACGAGACGAAAAAATATGTGAAAGAAGAGATGATAAGTACCGTAGTGGCGTCTCTGAAGGAAGGAACAGAAGAGATGAATCTCAAAAATCCCGGAGGCCCTTCAGTGATGCCGAGGACGAAGGAAGTAGGTTAATGCATAAAAGGCAAAAGGTAAATTCAGATTTTTATGAGAAAAGAGATTGACATGGTCCTAGAAAAGATCACAACAAAGAAGCGTGAACTCAGTGCGTTTTTCACTTGAATTATGCTTATTTTTAAGTATTACTGTGTGAATTCTGTTTCATGAAGCTTCCTGAATCGGATTATGAATGATCATGTGTGTTTTTCATTTTTTCCTTCCATTGACTACTTGAATAAAAACCATTTCAAAAATATAGTTTTCTTAAAGTTGATGTGTAGATCTATTTCTGAATTCATGAATATTTTATTTTGATTGAAATTTTTGGAACAAAACCAGAAGTTGTCTTTGAAGACCTGAAAAATTTATTGTAATTTGCTAACGTGATGATTTTCCGCGTATTCGTTCCTATTCATAAATATATTTCCATGGAATTTCAAGCCACTTTAGTTTGCCCTGTCGTGCCGTTACATGATCTCTAGATACTCTTGGTTTATTAGGATTATTCCGAGTACAAAGATTTGTGATCGCAATTGGCATCTGTGACGTCGAGAACTTCTTTGATCCGTGTAAGGACTTCACTTGACACAGACGGTCAAATATTGAAGATTTGCAAGATAGTGTTCCCGTGTCACCGAGTCTATATACGCTTATGATAGGAACGAATGCCTGTCAATTACGTACTAATTTTTCTTATGTCGGAAGGGAGTCTATATTCAAGGTGTAGCAATTTGTCAAGACAAGTTTGATTAGAAATAAGGAACCTGTTTAGCGCATTTTCTCATTTATGGAAAAAATGCACTATTGTGCTCGCCATGTCCGTCTGTCTGTCTGTCTGTCCGTCCGTCTGTCCGTGACCTCGAATTTTCGTCGACGAGAAAATGTGCTCTCTGTCACTCACTGCAGTGAGTACTGACTTATATTTTTTTCAAATTCCTATGGCAGTTTTGAAGTTCTACCTAAGAAACCAAACTCCAAAAAATTGCATTATTTTTAGTCAGGTATATTTATCCGAATGTAAATAAATTACAAAAAAAAATTACTGACACTTATATGTCTGTTGAAACGCCACTATTTTTAGTGACAGGGATCGAAGGCGGCGCATTAGCGTTGCCATTGACGATGGCGTCCCATACTTGACATCAGGAGAGTAGAATTGCGCTTCTTTCCCCACTGTAACACCAAGAACAGCTGTCAAAAAATAAAATTGAACTAAAAAATTACGAACGTGGCTGCAGCAGGTTAAACAATCGTGGTTAAATCAATGCGTTGTCCAGGGATTCGTTGCCAGCTTTCAATGCTGTTCGCTCCTAAAGGACTGGTAACAAGAGTAGCCGTCACGAGATTAGGTGTTAAGGTTATGGCGTGTCACTGTGGAGACGCCCACTGACCTGGTGTCGGCGTACATGACCTGTCCTGCGCGTGCAGTTTATTGTTGCTCAGTGAGAGCCCAACCCGCACGACTGATGGACTGAACTGGGCGCATTGTGGCACGCCACTCGCATCTGTTGGTTTAGTGCTGCTAGGTGAGTAGTTACTAAGTGCTCTGTTATATCGTTCGTTACTAAGTACGTCCGTAGTTAGTTACGGATGTGTCACTACTTAGCAATTAGTACTCTCACCGTCAAGTTTAGTGAAACAGATACTTCGCTTGTTTCATATTCACTGCGCAATGTGCACGGTCAGCGTATTAAGTGACGTAAGAAGTCATATATGTTTAACTCTGTTCATCGTTTTAAATTAATGTTCACATCTGAATTTTGTAGTGGAATTTAAAAACAAGTAGTAGTTGTAGACTGGTAGCTGTTATCAAAGTATTTTCAAAGGAATCTCAATTAAATTATGATGTATTTAATCTTGAAATTATGCGATTTTTATATGTGAAATCATATATTTCGCGAAATCATGTATTTCAGCGTAGTCTTCCTCCGCCGTTCGCAATTTCGATCTGAGGGCGTGGGGATGTGAGGGTGGCTCCTTCCTCGTCTCTCCCTCACTCTTTCTCGAGCCATCCGATATCTTACTCCTTCCTTATATTCTCCTGCTAACTTTCCAATCTTTATTTCTTCGATTTCATCAAATTTACAAAGGATAACATTTAACTAGAAGGTAATTTAGGATTTCATGGCCTGACAGCTCACGGAATCAAGTTTACTCCTCAGCTGCTATGATGAGCCTCCGATTTTGCGCAGGCGCTTTTGTCATTCACTGTAATGTTCCTTTAAGATTGTTTCCTCTCCATGGGAAGTTGACCGCGACTAATAATATAGATTTAAAAATATAATAAAATAACTGGCCGTGTACACACTGAACAATTTCTCCTCACAACAAGTATAGAAGCTTTATAAGTATTGTGAAAGTACCACTTCATTCGACGGTTATTGAGAGTATTTCCCTGGTAGAGTTCAGTGTGTGTGTGGCCGTGTTGAGGTGAGGTTGTTGCTACCGCTCCTCTCATCGCTCGCTTGTTTTCATACCTAGATCAGCAATGCTAACGTTGCTCTCATTTAATTAACTTTGTTTCAAGAAATGAAGTAATTTTAGCTGCGATCAATTGTAACTGCAACGAAGATGAGCATGCAGCCGCCCCCAAGGAAGGTTTGTGCTTCCAATCAAAACAGCGAGAGATGCCCTAGCGCCGTATTGATCTAACAGGCCCAGTCGGTCACTGCGCTTCACAGACATTATTTCTTATATTAATATCATCATTAGGTTGAGATAATTTTTGTAATAATTCTTCAAAAAGAATATTCTACTTAGTAGATTCTATGACATCTACGTTCCCGTTAATTCATTCATGTACCTAAGAAAATAAAATTATGTGTGACCCTAGCAACTACGTACGTTCGTATTTCTGTAGTCAATTCAATAGACAGGAAAATGTTTTCCATTAAGATTTGGTTCAATCAGGATGATAAATGTTGGCAATTTAGCAAATATTAAAAATTCCGAGGCAATGAGTTCGCATTTTATGAAGACGTTTGATTTATCAGCTTACATGAGGCCTAGAAATGGTTTTATATTAGGCATGAAAAATTACTAATATCAAAAATTACTAAAATACACGTTGCCGCCTTGCATGTGGGTGACACCAAAGCAAATGGAATGAAGCAGCAGTGGAATGTAATGCAGTGATAATGCCACAGGAAAGCACTGAAAGCAAATAATTCTTAATTGCTTCCTTCATGAGAATTTCTTGATAATTTGAAGAAGTCATTTAAGAAAAAGAATGAAATTGTTTGCAGGGAACACGAATACTCCGTTATTCCAAATTGCCATTAAAAGCTGTAGGTACCTATGATCGTCATATACATAGTTAAATATTTGTTGATTTGTCCGTAGACTTTTGACGTGCACGCGCATAATATCAAAAATTACTAAAATACACGTTGCCGCCTTGCATGTGGGTGACACCAAAGCAAATGGAATGAAGCAGCAGTGGAATGTAATGCAGTGATACTCCACAGGAATGCACAGAAAGCAAATATTTCTTAATTCTTTCCTTCTAAAACATTTACAAATAATTTAATGAAGTCACTTAATAAATAACATGGAATTGTTTGCAGGAAACACAAATACTCCATCATTCCAAATTACCTTTAAATGTTGTACCGCGGGAAAAACATAGTTAAATGTTTGTTGATTTGTCCGTTGACTTTAGACATACACGCGCATGGCAGTGTTTCACTGAAGTCAGGCCACAGACATGTTCAGTGTAGTCTGCCTGCAGACATGTTCTGGTAGTCTGCCTGCAGACATGTTCAGTGTAGTTTGCCTGCAGACAAGATCAGTGTAGTCTGCCTGCAGACATGTTCAGTGTTGTCTGCCTGCAGACATGTTCGAGGTAGCCTGCCTGCAGACATGTTCAATGTAGTCTGCCNGTGCAGGAACGTGTACAGCGTGTTGTGCTGTGCAGGAACGTGTACAGCGTGTTGTGCTGTGCAGGAACGTGTACAGCGTGTTGTGCTGTGCAGGAACGTGTACAGCGTGTTGTGCTGTGCAGGAACGTGTACAGCTGTCTCTTATACACATCTAGATGTGTATAAGAGACATGTTTAGTGCAGTCTGCCTGTAGACATGTTTAGTGCAGTCTGCCTGTAGACATGTTTAGTGCAGTCTGCCTGTAGACATGTTTAGTGCAGTCTGCCTGCAGACATGTTCAGTGTAGTCTGCCTGCAGACATGTTCAAGGTAATCTGCCTGCAGACATATTTAGTGCAGTCTGCCTGGAGACATGTTTAGTGTAGTCTGCCTGTAGACATGTCCAACGTAGTCTACCTGCAGACATGTTGTTGAACGCTGGATCCAATTTTTCTCACTAGATTAGATGGCTCCCCAATGTTCAACAAAGTTACCATGTACAACATCCCAATGTACAACCAAGTCATACTTCCAAAGACCATCTAATTGGCGTCCATTATTGTTCCATTAAATTTGTATTGTTTCTCTGGCAGGGCGGGTACCTGAAGGTGCTCAAGAACCTACACAGTGAGCAGGTCGCCAGATTGAACGCCAAGAACCAACAGGAATGTGATCTATTGGAAGACATAAGGTGGGTTATTAATAATATGTCAACCTAACCAGTTCAAAACTTTTCCTTTTAGCTTCTTTTTGCATCATTTGTGGCAAGCCATGCCCTTCATAATTATCGTCGATCGCATTGCATTAGAATATAATTTTTCTTATATTCCAATGACCATTGTGAATATTACCGTTCAATACAGATGTTCTCATCGCAACTGTGAAGAATTGATTTGAAAGGAAACACATAATTTGTGTATGCTGTTAAGTTGAATAAAACTGCTAGATCCTAAAGATCTCATCAATCGAGTCGATCAAAGAGTTTATAACAAATGAACCAGCTTCAAAAGCAGGCATATATAATTACTGTCGACATGTGATTAAGAGATAAGTGATCATTTGCCTGTTCTTGTCGAGATCAATGATATGAACTCTGCCGTGCTACATTGTGCTTCCAAAATGTTAGGATTTGATGAGTGATTATATCAGAGATAGATGGTTTATTTACTTTATTAGATAGAAAATTATATTAGAGATTAGATAGTTTGTTCATGTTCTTATCAATGATTAACTCTGCCGAGCTATATTGTGATTTTTACTTCACAGAAGCTTCACGAAGCAGAGATCTACCATAGAGCGCACCTATGGAGAGGTACGGACTCGATTCCTACTTGCATTAAATAACTAAACAGCATAGCATATAATTATGAAAATCTACATCTTGATTAGTTACGACGATGCAGCGAAAAAGAAGCATTTTTTAGATTCAGATTTTTCGGGATTTTATTCCATACATCCATGATTTTTTTTTACATTTTTTGGTTTTAGTTTCGGCTCTATAACGTCGTTTGAAAACTTGTTTGGAATTTTCTCCTAAGACCATTTTAGAACTTCAAGAGATTGAAAAAAATTAGGTCCACATTATTTTGGAATCATGTATAATTATTGAGCTAGCCCAGGTATAAAAGGAAAATGCTAATAAATATATTTCAAAAATTGAAATCTCATACCGCTGTTCGAAAAATCATTTATTTTAGTTGATAAAACCTTTTTGTTATGACAATTCACAGTAAAACTATTGCATAAAAATAAGAGGTAAATAAACATAGCTTTGATACACATTAACGCAAGAGTAAATGTTTCCGAATAGAAAATTAACGAAAATTCTTCCTCTAGGCGCTGTTGAAGCTCGCCACGTCCTATCAGAATCGCAAGATCGCCTGTGTGCCGGACATTAGACTGGAGGACGGCTCCGAGGCATGGTCGGTAGCTCGGCGTAGCCAATATGAGCAGCCGAGGCATGGTCGGTAGCTCGGCAAACCTCGGCAAGAAGGTGCGCCGCTGATATGTCCTGTCATTGCGGGAACTCAAACCTAACTTGCAAGGAAAAAGTTCGAGTAATTTATGATATTAATTAGCTGCAGATGTCAGCATACGTCAGCTGGTTGTACATTCAGGTATATTTAAGTATATACAATTATACTACGTATAAGTATATTAAATTTGGAGGTTGTTGAATTTTTGGCAAGAAAGAATTGGTTTCACTGCATAACTTACGAAGGACGAGTATTGAAGGTTTTTTGTGCAAGGAAGAGTTCTAGAAGGGGAAGCTGATTGTAGCTGTGACATGTTTGCAGCTGAGCGATCAGCTGGTGCAGTGCCAGAAGGAGTTGCAGTTGCAGGTGCAGGAGCTGGATCGTCTTAAGAAGATTTATTACGATGAAGAATCCGTGGCTATGGACGCGAGGGAGAAAGCCTCGGCTGCTGAGGACAAGTGAGTTGCTTGTCAAGTTTTCAGGTCATTAATCACGATCATACTTCTTTATCATTTTATTATCAGGTTAATTGCATTATTCCAGCCATACCTCATCATCCTTTAATTTTTTAAAGTTATCACGAAGATTAATCGTCATAATTTTATTAATTTTGTTTCTCTGTGTTGATTAGAATGTAATATTCGAAATCGACGCAGAGATGTAATTTGCAAAATTTATTCTGAACTTATGTGGGCAAATTTTAGTTTTTATAAATTTGTATTCGCTCTCCTCGTTTAATTATGTTTGCAATTTTTTCTCATTGGCTTCCTAAACTCGTTGATCCTAACATTAATATGGAAATATTCTTCAGGTATCCATTTTTTTCTCTGATGCGCCCTGGACCAGGGTTAATATAATTAGGTCTTTATTATTGACAATATTTCGCAGGGTTGTGACTGTCTTGTCAGTGATTGATTGACATGACAGAAACACGATTTTTTGTCTATGTTTGAATTCAATTTCTTCGTATTTAATGTTTGAATTTCTTCCGCCCACTTTACTAGCCCATCAAAACAAATGCAAGTAACTCGATTGATGCATATTATCTAATTATAGCTTATGCTTTTATCTTCAATATCCGCTATTTATTCTATTAGGAACGCTAACATGCAGTCACGTTATTCTTATTCATGAACGTCAAATTCAACAAAAGTCAGCTAGTTGTAGTTCAATAATAAGCGTAGAAATGTTTTTAAAAGCCACATATCGCTTATTATTAGAGCCTCTAATTTCCTCTGTGGAAAATGTTATAAGCGGCTATGTTGTGTTGCGAAGTTAGCTCTTGTGTTCTACAGCGTCTCACCGCGGCTTGCTGACTCTGTCATTATTGTATTATATTATAATTATCTTGACTGTAATATCGATTTAATTTCGTGTGCTGTGTTAGAGACAGTGTACTGCCTCTAAAACGTTTTGAGGAATAGTTTAAAGAAGATTTCTCGTTTACTGCTGTTAGCCTTCATAGCGAATGTGAAGAGTTCGATGAATTCAATTGCGAATTCTTCCCATGTATGAGAAATTCGGCTTTCGCTATATAAAATACACTATTCTTTTTGAGAGGCTCTAAACTAAGCAATAAGTTAAGCCTATATCTATCATTATTTTTTAATTGTAGATTCCAATGACAGGCATGTAAGGCCCTGTTACGATGGCGATTAATTTTGTGATCATAAGGCAGTTGTATTGATCCTGTACCGGATAATTTTCCCCGTCACTCTCCCAAGCTGCAGCTGAGCTCACACTTCACCGCTCAGTCCAATCAAGCGACCAAGTGTAGCAACACCAACTTAATTGATCCTAAAATCGTTGTGGATGTCGGATAAATTGTTATAGTGCTCGGTGTTATTATAAGATGTTGCCCTCACGGCACCCAAATGGGACTTCAATTTATTCCTGCGCTGCCTTGAATTTGTGTTATATTTTTATTTTTAAAAAGCACTTCAGACACGCCTACCTAGTGCACTTTCTTACAAAAAAACCTCGCAAAAGATGTCTTTAGTACCGTTTTTCTAATGCTTCAATTTTCGCTATAAATAAAATGCTTATAGGAAGAAACCAGCTGCTTTCATTTTTGTTATTTTTTGGAGCTAATAACAGTATTCCCATAATGTATTTCACAATTATATTTAGTGACATTTCTAGAAGCGAATAATATGAATACAATAAACTTTGCTCATTGAGAGCTGATCTGGTCCTAGATTTATCCTAGTCATGAGCCATGATATCGCTTTATCGAAAGTTTGATGATTATATCCTTTGTGCTGTAAATGGCTCCTGTTTCTGATTTCTTGAAAGTTTATTTATTTACATTGAAATGAAAAACTTTCCATGTATTGATTAATCGATGTGAAAACGTGACCATTCATGTGTCAGTTACGGGAAAGCTATCACATGCTTTCTATCTGTATTTTCTATAGGAATATGTGCCTTTAAGAGACATTTTGCTTACCCTACAGATGTTCTGATGATATAAATTTACCTACATATAATGTAAATTACGTTTTTCAGCTAATTTGCTTCAAATCTTTCTTATAATGCTATGCATATGTTTGTTCTGCGGAAAAAATGATGTCTATATCGGGGCATTAGGAAAGACAGTTTATCAAATATAAATATCTAAAGGGTTCATTCAATTATCTATAAGTATCTTATAGGTATATTAAATGCGTCCCTCATTATTATTTATAACTACTTGTAGAGTGTCAGAATGCATAAACATTTTTTTTATGAAAATGGTTGATGTCGCACATTGTAAAGCACACAATTTCCTGGAGTTTGGTCAAAGCCTTTCTAACTTATTTGAGTTCCCAGCGAGTGAATTATAACAAGTAACAGATAACAGATAAAAGATAACCACATCAATTAGAGCCACTGTTCATTTTTCGAATCTGAAATACAAACAAAATCAGAGTTGATAAAAGGTAAAACTTTTCATTCTCAGAAACGATCTTTGCTATTCTGTCACTGAATGAATTACTTATTTATTTTCAGGGACGACTATATTTTAAAGCAGGAAATGTGATTATATTTAGCTACTAGTTGATGCTAGTGCGTGGTAATGCTGTTGCTGCCCGCAGGCTGAAGCGCAAGAAAGGGTCCATCTTCCAGTCCATCACGTCGCTTCAGAAGAACAGCGCTAAGGTCTAAATACTAAACTAAAGTCATTCGCATTACATTCAATTAAATAATTCAATCCTATTCAATGAAAGTCATTCACTAAAAATACAACATTTTATTCAAATTTGGTTCACGTTGGCCCTTTAATAGATTGATTTACGTAAAAACTGTGAATTTCTGTTTTCGCTAGAACATTTTCCAGATTCGATCCATTATCTCGTTTCGCTGTCATACTTTTTTTTCCTGACATATCTCAATGGGCATACTTATTCATTCCACTTTTGAATACCTGTCGTAAAATGGGAACATATTATTATTGGATTCTACAATAATTGCAATTATATACATGCCTCAGTCATTTTGAAATATGATTACTATTCCAGTAAGGAGATTACTGCAATGGGTGTGGCGTGCCATACAGATAACTATATTCTAAGTGCGATGAACGCCTTTAAGTTACTCTCGTTTGCTTGAAAAGGTGAATGTGTAAACTGTCAAATAAAATATCAGTCCTTATACCTCATATACTCGTTTATATTAAGCGTAATTTTAATTTATATAAATAATTTACAGTTTGCATCAAAGCGCGACATGTGCGACGAGAAGAGCCACGGCGCGCGTAACGACTACATCCTGGCCCTGGTCGCCGCGAACGCTCACCAGCGCCGCTACTACGAGATCGACTTTGAGCGCATGCTGCGGGTACTGTCTCTGTACCTCAGGGTACTGTCTCTGTACTTCAGGGTACTGTCTCTGTAACTCAGGGTACTGTCTCTGTATCTCAGGGTACTGTCTCTGTACTTCAGGGTACTGTCTCTGTAACTCAGGGTACTGTCTCTGCAACTCAGGGTACTGTCTCTGTAGCTCAGGGTACTGTCTCTGCAACTCAGGGTACTTTCTCTGTACCTCAGGTACCGAGACAGACAGGTAATCTCTGTAGCTCAGGGTACTGTCTCTGTAGCTCAGGGATGTACTTCGGGGTACTGTCTCTGTAGCTCAGGGTACTGTCTCTGTAGCTCTGGGTACTGTCTCTGTACCTCAGGGTACTGTCTCTGTAGCTCTGGGTGGAAGACTGCCTGTGTTAAATTTTAAACATTCTGCACTGTGAAGAATTATAACAGTAAATAAGACCGCAATATTTCCCGGGCGTGAGTTAATCGCTTCTATTTTGGCTTGAAGACGATGGAGTGCGACATGTACGACAAGGTGGCGGAGTACATCACTCTGCTGGGCCGCACTGAGCTACTCACGTGCTCTGCTGCTCAGGTCTCATACACCAAGATCCGCGATCAGGCCCAGACTGTGAGTAGAAGCTCTAAACTGGGGAAAACTGGCGCTATAACTGTGTGTGGAGGACAGTGACTGTAAACACAAGAACTGAAACTTTTGTACAAAAATCGAAAACTAATTCAACGTTTGTTATTATCCATAGATATTAGAGAGCTTTGCACGATGCAAGCTTATACAGTACACGAGGTAGCGTACATGGTTCGTAAGCTCATAAAACCTTTACTTTTACGACCCCGTTTCTTGATGGAGAATCTTTGTCAGAGCTGAGCAGGGCGGGGACTAAATAAATGAATGACTAACAACTCCTCAAACGCGCTGCGAATGCTCATAAAACCGGGGAACCGGAGCCATAATGAGCCAAGTTGATTGTGGATCAAGCTGCTTTCTCTCTATTACTTAGTAATCCTCACCTTGAAAACTGACTCAATGGCAAGTACGAGTGGTTGGTTCGAGTAGGAAAATAATTAAAACGTTTTTTCTTCTCCTTGAGATCACGAGAGGGTACAACCTGCGCTGCTACCTGACCTTCTACCCGATGCTGGGCCAGAATGTACAGTATGACTTCGATCCTTCAGACGAAGATGCTGTGGGTAAGATCACCATCATCGATGCAAACCACAAGGAAATGTTGGAGCAGGAGGGCAAGAAATGCGTCGCCAGAATAACCAAAGAAGTGAAGGTAAGGGAGGCGTTTATTCTACACTGTAGTGATAGAGAAGGAGGATGCATGTTTCCTGCGCTTCTCTCACCGAGCTATTTTCCTTTAGTTGCTGTGCAACAACTGCATAATATACCGTTTATTGCTTTACTTCTAATGTGTCATACAATATATTTCTTGCCTTCACTGCACTTTGTCGGCAATCTTGAAAATTGCTTAGCTGGGCCCATAAAGTATTGTTTTTTTTTGCTACAGATTGTAGACTATATATTTTTTCTTCTATTTCAAACGCATTATTGCTATGTTCGATGTACGTATGTAAGTTCAAATTACCGTCTTGAGAGAGCGACTCCGTGTCCTAATCGTTCCCTGTTTGAAGGGAAATTTCTCCAATACGGTGATGAATTGATGAAGGTGATGAATATGATGAAGGTGATGAATATGATGAAGGTGATGACTATGATAAAGGTGATGAATATGATGAAGGTGATGACTAGGATGAAGGTGATGAATATGATAAAGGTGATGAATTTGATGAAGGTGATGAAGGTTCTTCATAAAACTCTCTCCGATGTTTCAGGTGATCCGTGATTGCTGCCGTCGCATTCAGAAGCTTCAGTCTGGAGGCAAGCCTGAAGAAGGCGCTCCAGTGGGAGACCCTGAAGCGAGAATTGAAGAGCTGAAGCAGCTCATACGGCGCGCTGAAACTGAGAAGATGAAAGCTGAAGCTAAAGTTGAAGCTCTTAGAGATGGTGGAGGTCAGAATTACTAGTTTGACAAGATAATTTTCATTAATTTACTATTAACAGTATAATGCTGTTGATTTTGCAAAAAAATTTATATCGAGAACACCATTTTAGAAATTTTATGCTCCAGACATAAAATCCTTAAAACAACTAAAGCTTTGCCATAACAAGATTAATTTTTATTTCTACATATGACCGATCGTCCACACAATTAATAATATTTAGAAAAGTTTCATTTCGATGCCAGGCTCATATGCTGTCATGAAAATCATTGTTAGATTTAATGAATTTCTTAAACATCAGACCTTGCCGATTATTATTTAACTTCTGTTGAAATTATTAGAATGCCATTTCTCTAATCGCACTGATTTTTAAATTGTGAGGGCTTATTATTTGATATTATATGGGATTTATAATCACTGATTTGTTGGGTTTTACTGGGCTACACTGATTTTTACACTTGAATTACACTGATTTTTGGGGGATTTCATGGGGTTTATAATCCCTGAAAATTCACCCTGATTTTCAAACTACAATCACACTAATTTTGTCTGCCATGTCCACCGCCGCAGTGGAGGTGGAGGACTACAGCAAGAGCGTGGACAGCGACAGCCTGGCAGTGGACATGGACGCCACCCTCAGCCGCTCGGGCTCATCGCTGTCCGTCAGAGACGAGGTCCGGCCATCATACGGCACATAAACATTTATGTCACTTTTAACATTAATATATTATCCTCCAATGATACAAGTGATTATTCTAGGTCCAAGTATCAGAATAATCATTGTCTGTTAGATAAGAGGTCAGGCCATCATACGGTATAAGTATTTAAGCCACTTTGTGACATTAATATATTATCTTCAATGATACAAATGATTATTCTATGCCCAGGTATCAGAATAATCATTGTCTGTTAGATAAGAGGTCAGGCCATCATACGGTATAAGTATTTAAGCCACTTTGTGACATTAATATATTATTCTTCAATGATACAAATGATTATTGCAACCCTTGATGACTGTTACTGGTGTTCAATTAAATTTGTCGTGTTCATGTTAACTGAACAGGGGAATAAAAAAAGTATATATATATGTCAAATTGATATATGATGGCAAAATATTTATTGATGTCCTATTTCCTATGAATGAAGTCAAATATTGATTAAAGTTTAGTACAGTTTGATGAATGACTGCGTATTTGGATAATTATGGTGCTTTTGTTTTAACGATTGTCGTTGTGCTGAATTGTATTTCTGCGGTGCTGACATTGTCTCTTATACACATCTAGATGTGTATAAGAGACAGGTCCTCAACATGTCCTCAACGTGTCCTCAACATGTCCTCAACATGTCCTCAACGTGTCCTCAACATGTCCTCAACATATCCTCACCGTGCACAGGGTGACGTCACAGCAGGGGAGGGCGGGGAGGGCGCCGGTGACGGAGATCGCAACGCGCCGTTGCAGCGGCAGACGACCGACGCGCAGCCGCCCAACGAAGGTTCGTTGTTTATGTTCCTTATTATAAATTAATTATATATAGCTTTTAATTTTAGCTTGATATCTATGACTCTACAGTATAATTATAAAACATTCAGTACTATTTTTCTGATTAGGGAAGTCAAGAGAAGGAGTTTACTCTTCCTATAACAAACTCGCGTGTTCATGAACGCAACTTTCCCTATTGTTTTATTTATATTTTTTTATTGTGCTGGTAGGCAGAAACACAATATTTTGGCTGCTAAGATTTATTGCTTATTTAGAGCAGTGGTTCCCAAACTTTTTCAGGCTGGCGCCCCCTTTCGCTCCCTAGTGAATTTCAAGCGCCCCCACAGACATACGCCTCTTTCTTGAAATTTAGTACGCTGCANTCTCTGTCCGTCCGTGACTTCACGTTTTCGTCGACGAGAAAATGCGCTCTCTGTCACTCACTGCAGTGAGTACTGAGTTATATTTTTCCTTAATCGTATATTATTTTTATATTATTATATTATTTATGTTGTTATTCATTATAGAGCCAAAACCCCGACGAGTTAAGCTTCATGGAGAACGAGGAGCTGGAGCTGCTGGGCGAGGGTGATGGTGACGGCTGGATCAGCGCCAGGAACTACAAGGGCGAGGTCTCATTATCTTATTATTTGTATACAATGTATACTTATTATATCTTGATAATTATCTATATTATATTTTGTTATTATCTATATCTATATTATATTAACATAGCACGCTATATTTGTTATCTTGATAATTATCTCAGTATCTTATTAACTTGGATTCAATGAATAATTATTTATAGTATAAAGGAAATACGAATATAGTAGGCGTTGAAGCATATTGGTATAGTTATATAGTTGTTCATTTATACAGGTTTGATTGAAGACCAGAGCGTACTTATGTAAGTACGCTCTGGTCTTCAATCAAACCTGTATAAATGAAGAACTTCTGCCTAACTACACTATTATATAGTTGTGTATAGTTCTGTATAAGGTATAGGTATAGGTAGGAGGTATAGTTGTGTATGATATTTGTTATCTTTATGATTATCTCATTATCTTATTAACTTGTATACAATACTTATTTATGTTATGAATGAAATACGAATATAGTAGGCGTCGAAGCATATTTGAGATATAGTTGTATATGATATTTGTTATCTTGATAATTATCTCATCGTCTTATTAACTTGTATACAATGCATGCTTATTATATCTTGATAATTAAACTATATTATGTTATGCTATTATCTATATCTATATTATATTATCATAGATAGATATATGATATCATATTATCTATATCAATATTATATTATCATAGCATGCTATATTTGTTATCTTGATAATTAACTCATTATCTTTTTAACTTGTATTCAATGCATACTTATTTATATTATGAAAGAAATACGAATATAGTAGACATTGAAGCATATTTGAGATATAGTTGTGTATGATATTAGGTATCTTGATGATTAATAATATCTTGAAATTTTTCTAGCCCATAGATTACTCGCATCCATTACCGAGAGAGATAATTAAATATTTGTAGTAAATTCCGTAGAGTTTTCTTCATGTAGGCTTGAAAACAAAATGAATTTTATTTGCTTTCTTAATTGCGTGGTCAAATTTTAATGAAAAAATTATTTTTCTTACTTATCAACGCCCGAAAATTACGAAAATTTGACCTTTTATTCAGATTTAAACTATTTTCTAAATTCTCTAAATGTAGAATGAAAAACCTCTGACCATTTTCGAGACAAATAAAAGAACCGTTAATTTTTTTCTTCAATTTTTCACAATGATTTCGTTCATAATTGCATTCATATAAAAAATTTGTTGTTATTGATTGCTTTTTCAGTTGGCTTGCTGGAATTTCGCCTGTTAGTAATAACCCTAATTTTTGCGCTTATATGAGAACAATTCTAAATTTTATTTAATACTAATGAATGAATTAATTACTCGAGTAGGTTGGATTCATACCTCAATGAGAACTATTCTAAATGTTATTTAATTCTAATGAATGAATTAATTACTATACTTGATCACTGTGAATTTACGCCCGTATTGTCATATAATTAAAGCAAAAACAAACGATGGCAAAATTCAAACAATTTTCACGATCAAAACATTATCGTTAGGTCCCAATGAATACCTGTACCAAGTTTCATCGAGTTGAGTTCACTAGTTTGAGAGATATTCCTTGACCATTGAATTTGGAAATTTTCCGTGAGACCGGCCGTTAATTTGTCCGAGGCGTAAACCCAGGAGAGGTTAAAAAACAGATCTGCGTGAAAAAACCATCGCTGGGAGTCATGTGCTGCACGTGTTGTGTACATATCGTCAAACAAACGTTCAAATTTCTGACATTTACTTCGGGCTACCGCCCCCTATCGCCCCCTACCGCCCTCTTCTTCCTTACCGCCCCCCCAAATCTTTCCACCGCCCATAGGGGGGCAATATCGCCCACTTTTGGGAAACACTGATTTAAAGGAAGAAAACTCCCAGTCTTATTTATAGTCTCGGAAGCGTTTCCTTTTCGAAATTATGAAAAGAGAGGTTAGTTAATTTTGGTGATTTTGGCTAATATTTAGGATGAACAAAAGACTTATGCATCTTAAATGCAATTTTTAATTTTTTTTTTTATTGATCAACGATGTTTTAGTGCAGCCAGCCCAGTCCTACGTTGTGTAATTTATATAATTAGATTGATCATCATCTAATTCTATAGATATTAATAGAATTCTATTAATATTTATTCTATTAATATTAATAGAATTAATTCTATAGATATATTGATCATCATCTATAGATATTAATTAAATATTAACGCTCAAATTTACCACACTAGACATTAATAAAGCACTAATTTATCACACTAGACATCAATAAAACATAACATTGTTCATTAGTTCAAGACGGGTTCGCGTCCTGGGACCCTGTGAACCCCGTGGACGTCAACTGGGGGGACGAGGGCGACGATGAGATCCCCGCTGCCGCCCCCACGCAACCCCCCGACGACGACGAGGGGATTGAGCCCCCCTCTCAGCCCCCCGAGGTGGCGGGGGTATTTTTTTGTCCCTTGACAAAATCAATGTGATTCATTACAATCAATGATTGTAATTTCATATACGTTTTGTCGTTTGCTGCGCTATTGCTGATTAAAGGCAATGCTTATTCCTAGATGATCACAGGCTGCTGCACTCTACTTAGAGTGAATAATTCAGAGCCTGAATAAATTCCTGGAAGTTTATGAATCGGGTAGAGGTGTCGCCATAGCTTTAAATTTTTTCTTGCTCATGAAACTTTTGCTGCGAGAGCCTCGCATTTACCCAACAGGTCCACCGCTTGAAGATTGATTCATAATAAAAATTGATCATTCAGGTCCTTGATTATTCATAATAAAAATTAACCTGACAATTTTTAGCGATGTGTCTTGCTAAAATTATTAGTGTGATCTGTATGAAAGTTGTGTATGCTAACACAAAGTATAGCTGATATCACACAAGGGCAGCTTACGTAAAACATCTTCTGTGATTGAAAAAAAAATTGTTGAAATTTTCATGAATATTTTATCAACGCCCTGGAGTTATTACTTGATTGCGTAACCACGTTGAATGCTGCATTCATTTATTCGTTGTCATAATGACTCTAGTTAAGTTGGTTGTGTTATCTTGATGGGTGCAAAGGAATGTTGATTTAATAGATACAATTACGATAGTAAGTCGTCTCAATATATATCTCTACAATATTAATGCAATGGGTGTCGCTATAATGACAACATATTATGTCATAAATTAACTTGTTATTAAATAATATCATGGATTGATTGTTGATTGCCCATCGGGTGTTCTGGACATCACCCATGTCTTTTGGCTGTCAATTCCGCAGTGCTAGTGAAGCATCGGCAGTTTGCGAAAATTCCCCCCAAGCTACGTAGATTTTGTTTGATTGTTTAAAATTTTGTTAGCGTATTGATTTTTTAATGATTTGAGTTGAGTTGAAAGACAGAACTCATTTCGCGAGTCCACGTGAAGAGTTTTCAATGTTATGCAACAAACATCTTTGAAATTTTTAACCTTGCAATCACCTGCCTGGCTTACAAGATAACGGGAAGTGAAAACATCATGAAAACTTAAGTAAACGGTCTTTTTCGGTGACTGTATTCATGCATCATTCACTTCGAGATCATTCACGACCAGAGCATAAAATATGTAAAAATTACTCGTGCTTCAGATGACTAACTCAACAGCTTCAACGTTCTGACATTCTTCACTGCCGTCGCATTGTATTAACTTTTATCGACTATCAAGCTGCCTTCGAAATTACTAGAAAAATTAAGAATGACTGCACTTAGAAAAATTGCAGGACAAAATAAAATAATTGCTATGATGCCCTTATTTCATTCACGTTTGATTAGTTTTAATTAAGTAGCATTGCCTTTACCAGACGTATTTTGTCTCGTGGCCAGTAAATCCCCTGCACTGAGTTGTAGTTTCGGATTATTGGTGTGCTCCATTGTTGCTCCTGCTGTAAAATCTGCTCCATGTTCCTTGGCTGTACAGAAGATTTATAATTGATAGAAACATTTGTTGATTTGAACGTTGGTTGATTTTAACTGAGTTGCCTCTATTCCCTGTATGCTCGTTCCCACCACCACCACCACATCACCACCGCATCTCGCGTACGTAGTCCTGCTATATCAAAATTCCTAAGTAGCTCACCTAAGTTCAGCTTGCTTTACGCTTCTTCCCGACATCTTGAATTCACATTCGTGTTTGCGGAACACAATTCTCGTTAGAATTTTTATAGCTGAAAACAATTCTACAATTACTGCTGAACATTCTCTCTGTGCCACTTGTTTAAAAAACTTACTGCCTCGGGACTTACGTTCTATGCACATGCAGAATGTGCAAAAACTCTTCAAAGCATAATGAACTTAACATTTTTACAGGAGAAACAATAAAAACCAAGCAATATTTTTGCAATAAATTTTGCAATATATTTACCAGACAAATCCGCTGGCCATTACCCACAACTCATTAATGTTTGTCTTTGATCTTTTGCTCTTGTCTAGAATACTAAGGCCTGCTTTAGTGCATCATAACACATTCGCTAGCGCTAACCACGACCTTTTAATGCAATGTAAATATATATTTCATAGATGAAGAAATCTCAAGTGATGTTTCCATAGTTCAAACATTTCAATTATTGTTCACTCATTGGCAATTTCTCTCACGTCTACGCTTCTCCTTAGTCGCTTCTTACGCCTCGTCAACGCTGGCAGTTTAGCTGCTTGAAAGCATCGAGAGACGCTACAAACATCACGCTCATTTATACGCTACATCACGCTCATTATTGGAGATCTTCTCATATCAGAAAATGGTAGTCCAGATTCACTAATTTAAATGCAGAACTGATGTAAATTAAAATGATAAACGATATCAAATCCGGCTCATAATTCAATCACTTTGTGGCATAAATTACATTTCACTACAGTCATCATTGTCATCGAATTGAATTCCCATTAAATTTAATGAGAATTAATGTGGACAACGCAAATGATCATCCGGGTATTCATTATGAAAATTAAATGCTACATACAAATCGAGGTCACTTAACCCATACCATAAATTCTAGCTACTCTATACTGGAAAAAGAATTAGATTTATTATAAAGCATTCAATTTTTTTGGCTTATCTTAAAACTAAAATCACTAAGACATTTAAAAGTTTCGCCAGATTTCGCTTAATTTTACGTAGTTTCACGGATTTTTTGTCGCTAGTACATGAGCTATTGTGTAATAATATTAAATGCTTCATACTTCTGCTTTGTGTACAACGAGTTGTGTTACTCAATGCTTATTATCGTGCCTTTGATGTTGGAAGTTAAATGTGGATACAACTTATCAACTGATGAACTGAGTGCCAAATGTAGCGCGCCTCCAGCCTTATCGGGCAGTGTTTAATGTTTTTATTTTTAAGGCAGTATTTGCCTTTAATGTTAAGGCAGTATTTTTGCTGGCAGTGAACTGAGCGGTCGCTGCAGATGTGTGCCTTTGAAGAGGTTGTTTGTTGCCTTCATGGTTGTGTCCTTATGCGGTTGTGAACTCATTCAAAAATTATTTTTTTTGTTAAAGTAAGTGGGATACATTTTATACATAAAGGTGATTGTAATTTCATATACGTTTTGTCGTTTGTTGTGCCATTGCTTATTAAAAGCAATGTTTTTCTTGAGGATTGCAGGCTGCTGCATCCTACTTAGAGTGAATAATTCAGAGTCTGAATGAACAATCCAAATTTTGCAGACCCAAAACCAATTGCTACTTGTACGCCGCGAGAAATTGGATGGGCGATAGAGTAGTTTTATCTTGCATTTATCATCATATCTTTACGAAATATTACAATTCTACAAACATTTCAATTATTGTTCACTCACTGGCAATTTCTCTCACGTCTACGCTTCTCCTTAGTCGCTTCTTACGCCTCGTCAACGCTGGCAGTTTAGCTGCTTGAAAGCATCGAGAGACGCTACAAACATCACGCTCATTTATACGCTACATCACGCTCATTATTGGAGATCTTCTCATATCAGAAAATGGTAGTCCAGATTCACTAATTTAAATGCAGAACTGATGTAAATTAAAATGATAAACGATATCAAATCCGGCTCATAATTCAATCACTTTGTGGCATAAATTACATTTCACTACAGTCATCATTGTCATCGAATTGAATTCCCATTAAATTTAATGAGAATTAATGTGGACAACGCAAATGATCATCCGGGTATTCATTATGAAAATTAAATGCTACATACAAATCGAGGTCACTTAACCCATACCATAAATTCTAGCTACTCTATACTGGAAAAAGAATTAGATTTATTATAAAGCATTCAATTTTTTTGGCTTATCTTAAAACTAAAATCACTAAGACATTTAAAAGTTTCGCCAGATTTCGCTTAATTTTACGTAGTTTCACGGATTTTTTGTCGCTAGTACATGAGCTATTGTGTAATAATATTAAATGCTTCATACTTCTGCTTTGTGTACAACGAGTTGTGTTACTCAATGCTTATTATCGTGCCTTTGATGTTGGAAGTTAAATGTGGATACAACTTATCAACTGATGAACTGAGTGCCAAATGTAGCGCGCCTCCAGCCTTATCGGGCAGTGTTTAATGTTTTTATTTTTAAGGCAGTATTTGCCTTTAATGTTAAGGCAGTATTTTTGCTGGCAGTGAACTGAGCGGTCGCTGCAGATGTGTGCCTTTGAAGAGGTTGTTTGTTGCCTTCATGGTTGTGTCCTTATGCGGTTGTGAACTCATTCAAAAATTATTTTTTTTGTTAAAGTAAGTGGGATACATTTTATACATAAAGGTGATTGTAATTTCATATACGTTTTGTCGTTTGTTGTGCCATTGCTTATTAAAAGCAATGTTTTTCTTGAGGATTGCAGGCTGCTGCATCCTACTTAGAGTGAATAATTCAGAGTCTGAATGAACAATCCAAATTTTGCAGACCCAAAACCAATTGCTACTTGTACGCCGCGAGAAATTGGATGGGCGATAGAGTAGTTTTATCTTGCATTTATCATCATATCTTTACGAAATATTACAATTCTATTGTATATTAACTTAATATTCCAGTAATCTCCATCAATATTTTTCAATCAATATCAATATTTTTCAATTCCAGTAAATGGCGCGGCGTTCATTTGCTCTTGCTTGATTATAAAAAATTATCTTAAGAGGTTTTTTGGCACGAAATTAATTGAAGTTATTCTGGCGCTGAAGAATTTGCGCAATCGATGAAAATTTCACCAATAGTTGTATGTGGTAATTTATAATTAATATCGCCATTGCATTATTTCAATTCAGTGCCTAACCGTAAAAATATATTTGGCGAGAGCCTGAATATAGTTTAGATTTTATCATTATTGTAGTAGCTGCTCGAGCGAACTTTGTAAAAATTTTTAAATCCAACAGAAAATCACGATTTTGTCGCTGCCGCACAGGCGAAAATTCTAACATAAAAGTTTTAACCAACTGACCTGCCCTAATATGTTCGTACAGTTTATCATACTGTAGGTTTATGTGCACTTTACTATGTAATAATGTAGTGATGAATTAGCAGCTGATTATCATAAGACGATTCACGTAGAAATAGAAATTTTGTTGTCACGATTATAGTTGTATTTACGCAGTTGTTATCGCCTGAATCAACTGCTGCTGTTTTGCTGCTTCTTGAATTGAATAAAGAAACTGAACTTGCATTAGCGTCCATCAGAGAAGAAATTGATGGTTCACAAACTTCAATCTAAGAATGAGTCTCCCATTCATCTGAAATTTTTCTAAATTCAAATTCGTTTCGTTATTCAACCACTGAAATGTAATTAGGAGGAAAATTTTATTCTCTTTGACTCACTGAATACTTTTTGTTGTGACTTTGTTAACACGTACATATTATAATAATATACTTTAAAAATAAAATAGCTGATAATTTTGCTTACATTAGTAAAGACTTTGATCAGAAATGACACGTTCATCACTCACTGCATTTGCAGGGAAATTTAAGAATGTCGAGCTACAGCGAAGAATTGATTTGTTGTCTGATATATTCATGCAAATAGAATTGCTCTGTCCATGGGAGAAGTTTCATGGAGCTGATCTGCATTTCATATTGATAAGGGGAACACCATGCTTGGTTTGTCCCGCCCACGTTAATAATATCAATAACAATATCGTTAATAATATCAATAACAATATCGTTAATAATATCAATAACAATATCGTTAATAATATCAATAACAATAGCGTTGTCACGATCTTAAGCGATCTTAAGACGGTCCTCTTTGTGCACACCATAACGTTTATCTCAATATTCAGCATCGAAAAACATGGCGTGAAAGTTACTCACTGAGAACAGAATTTATTTGCGTCAAATTATGAACTCTTTATGAACAAAGTTAAAGCGCAAATTTTTACTCTTAGGGAGCTATTCTTACTGCTTTTTCTCCTGCCTGTGACGTCATTCTTGGCAAACTACTTGCCTGAGGGAGAGTATGTCGCTATAATTTCGTCGAAATTCTATTTAAAGTTGTTTTACTATGTATGTTGCTATGCAAAAATTGTTCAGATTTATTTTGCATTCTGTAAAGGTATGATATTTTGAAATTATTCATGAATTCATTTTGTTTTATATCTCTTGTTGTCGTGTTACATCTTTGTTTTAATCTTAAAAAAGTACGAAATAATAACCGCTGCCAAAGAATGCTAGGTATTAATATTCAATGAACACATCTGAAAATACATATAAATAAAATCACGAAACAAAGTAATGGTTCATAATTTGACCAAACCTTACTAATTGATGGATGTACCATCGTGATCCTGGTCTAATTTGTAAAAGAATGTCCCAATATTTTTGACATAGTAGTTTTTAAAGCGACATTTACTTTTTCATTTTGTAACGTCTGTGCCAAATAACGAACACGTATACCAATGAGAAGTTTCGTAATCGTCTTGCTTAAGATTTGTTGCGAGAGCAATTATTATATCTGTGTTTGGGTACCGTGTGGGGCACTTTTTGTTTTAGAAATATCAGTTCATTACTATGAACAAACGCATAGTTCGGGGAGTTGAGTTTCCATGACAAGCAGGGGCTGGTTTTCTAATTACATAAGGATAAGTAATTTGAAAATAAAAACATGTGCCAGAATTAAGTTTACATCGACTCGCTTGCCTTCATTTGGGGGATGCAAACTCCAACAATTATCCTTAACACAACAGACGGGGTGATGAACATAGCAGACTTTTATAAAATTACTTTACTTTATGTTTGTTAATCTCTTCGTTCGCACGGACATGTCACGTCAGAGCTATCGGTGTTCAGAATACGTCTTCGCACCGGAAGATCTTCATGGAATTCTATCTTTTTCCACGCTCAACTATCGGCCAGTGAGTGCACGCTACTCAAAATTTAGGCTATCCTTAAAATGAGGTGGATAAGAATCAACTTCCCGCTTGAGTCGACATTCTATAATATTATTCAAGTCAGAACTGACGTTTGATATAATTAGCGCAATTCCAGTGCGTATTTTCTTATAGTGGGAATTGCTGACATTAATGCTAACGTATTTCCGTCAGCGTATTTCGTTGCTTGCAGGTATGGTAGAAAATGTATTTAGAGTGGCCACTGCAGCGGTAGAGTTGAGAAAACTCTTCGCTGTCATGATTTCCCTCATAGGTAACTTTCTTATTCATGTTGCGTCGAGGTTGTTCTTCAGCGTATATTGTGCGTATCCAGTTGACCGCGTGTTTTCACGATCCTGTACAACTTGAAATTAAAAGATTGTCATCTTTGGCTCCTAAGAATTTCATCCAAAGATATTAAAAAAAATTAACAGATTGTCATCTTTGGCTCCTAAGATTTTCATCCAAAGATGTGAAAAAAATTGTAGAAAGATGTAGCTTTACACGTGAGTATTACATGGTGTTTGCCTAGTTTTTAGAAGATTTCATGTTTCCTTACTTCTGTAGCTATAATTCTCTACATTGGTGTAAGTTCATGGTGCCTCTTCTTCGTAGTAAAGCAACTTTGATTACTTCACAAAACTCAAGTACGCGACTAAAGTTGTTGTACACACCACAGCTATACGGCCACTGCATTCAGCAACATTACAACCAGCTTATAATTATGCAGGGACTGAAATGCGCCTTTGCACTCTAATTTATTTCACAATTGCAGCTCTCAGTGTTTATTAAGTAGAACATTTTATGCGTAATTTTGTAATTTTGCAGATACCAGTAGCTCTGCAGTGCGTTGCCGTAATATTATATAATTTATCCTTTAGTTTGAAATATTTGAGATGATGAGTGCTTCCATTTTCCGAACATGAACAGCACAGCCACATCGAAGGTGACGACTTCCAGCTGTGACTGTAGTGATGGCGGTGTGATGAGTCCAAGTGATGATGGTGTGATGAGTCCAGGTGATGGCGGTGCGATGAGTCCGAGTGATGGCGGTGTGGTGAGTCCGAGTGATGACGGTGTGATGAGCCTTCATGACTGCATCTTGATATCGGTATTTTATATTGAATTCGCATTAAATTATGAGCGCTTTCTTCACCGAATGTTAGGAAACTGTTTGAATATTTATTTATTCAGGAATAAATTTTTATATGTTTGGTAGAAATATGCTTATAATATTGCACGCATCGATGCAGGAGGAAAAAATATTGTCAGTTGATCAGATTATTTGTTGTTTAATAATGAGAGGTTGTGTCCGCGCCTGCATCAATTGCTGACTCTATTCCTGCTGACATTTTGGTCTGATTTTTGCAAAACCTACGGAACGTCATGAAAAGACTAATTAAAAAAAATTCAGCCATAATCACTGCAATCGGCGTCAGGAGAAGACTAAAGTTGAACAAAACTGTCAGCTTTTCTTTCTTTGAAGCGTGGAAACTTCTTTGTTGTCGTGACGTCAGCGGGGTACTTATGCTGACAAAATATTAGCTGTAGGCACTCCTACTGGCGTCAGCAGGCGACTAATGTGGTGACGTCAGCAGACGACTAATGTGGTGACGTCAGCAGACGACTAATGTGGTGACGTCAGCAGTCGACTAATGTGGTGACGTCAGCAGGCGACTAATGTGGTGACGTCAGCAGGCGACTAATGTGGTGACGTCAGCAGACGACTAATGTGGTGACGTCAGCAGGCGAGTACTGCGTGGCGCTGTACGACTACGAGGCGACGTGTCACGAGGAGCTGACGTTCGAGGAGGGCGAGGTGATCAAGGTGCTGACGCGCGACGTGCACGACGTCGATGACGGCTGGTGGATGGGGGAGGTGCGGGGGATGAGGGGCCTCTTCCCATCCCTCGTCGTGGAGGAATGTGGGGCTGACGGCGAGCCTCTCACGCCTGAGGTGAGGAGTAGAAGGAGTAGCTGATATTAAATTAACAGAAGGTAGAAGAATGTGTCATCCTATCGCTTGTAGCGACCTACACATGAGGCTAAACTGACTTACCCAATGAAAATTTACAGACGCGGCAGCTTCTGATTTGGATTACCAGAAGCTGGGGCGACTCTAAATTTTGTTAGGATAGCAGTTTGTTGTCGCTTCCACAAGAGAATGGCTCACGTGGCGAAGATTCATGCTGACGCTCAGTAAAATGAGCCAGAGAGTCATACACTTCATTAATATGCACATTATTAGCGCATTTTCTCGTTTATGGAAAAAAATGCACTATTGTGCTCGCCATGTCTGTCTGTCTGCCTATCCGTCCGTCCGTGACCTCTAGTTTTCGTCGACGAAAAAATGCGCTCTCTGTCACTCACTGCAGTGAGTACTGAGTTATGTTTTTTATATATTATGTTCGTTGCAATGATAAGTTCACTCATAGTAACTCGATATGCATCGATGGCAAATAATTAACTGGATAGACGTTACGTAAGTCAGAGTGTTATCTCATTTATTATTGGAATTTAGGCAAACCTTATATTATTTAGTAATGAATCCCATAGGATCCAGCCGAGCCTATCAATGACCCTGTAGTGAGCAAGCTATTACTTTGAGAAGTTATTTATAATGGGCCTATTTCTTCAACGCCGACACTTCTATTCTATTCTATACTTATCAAACATTTGATGATGAAACTTCTACCAAAATGCTCACATTTATTGATGATTGGGATGACGAACAATGAGATGAAGAACGCATTCAATAAAAATTAGATTACGAACAATGAGATTATGAATGCATTGAATAAAAATGAGATGATGAACATTGAGATGATGAACATTGAGATGATGAACGCATTGAATAAAAAATGAGATGATGAACATTGAGATGATGAACGCATTGAATAAAAATATAACTCAGTACTCACTGCAGTGAGTGACAGAGAGCGCATTTTCTCGTCGACGAAAACTTGAGGTCACGGACGGACGGACTGACGGACGGACAGACAGACAGACAGACAGACAGACGGACATGGCGAGCACAATAGTGCATTTTTTCCATAAATGAGAAAATGCACTAAAAATGAGATAATGAACATTGAGATGATGAATGCATTGAATAAAAATGAGATGATGAACATATATATTTTTTTCTCAGGGGAGTTCATGATGAACATATATATTTTCTTCTCAGGGGAGTTCATGATGAACATATATATTTTCTTCTCAAATAATAGTTAAATCTCACGCTACAATTATCCGAACTCGTTCTCGCTCATTAAACTCATTACTATAGTTATATCAACCAAATTCGTACGCAATTAAATTATTGTAATAATGGACTCAATCACATTCGTATCTCGTCAACAATCGCTCGGTAATCTAGCGTAATTCTTAGTTCAAATTGAACGCGACAACTTCTACACTTAACTACAAGTCAAAATACTGGGCATAAAAATTCCCTACTGAAATTCAATTCCTGAAAAGTTTCAATCATGTGGCCTTGAGTTAGAAGCGCTTATTAAAAATATGTGTCTAAAATCGATCTGCACAAATTTCTCGGCAAAAAAAAGATCAGAAAATATCTATTTGACAAAAATGTCCGTTTGTGCACATAAAAAAATCACAACGCGAACATAATTTCGACACCTAGCAAAAAAAAAAAATGAAATCACAGACAAACAATAATTTTCTGAACGTGAAACTATGCCATTTGTGCTTTTTCGTGTGCAAAAAAATTGATATTATTAATAATCATTCTACCTTCGATACTTGCCACAAAATGCAAGAAAAAATAAAAGCAAAAAGAAAAAAAAAGGTTTAGATGAATTACTAGAAATCACTACACAAGTAAAAAAAATTCTGCCCGCCTGACCACCTTAAACTATGCATTATCTCTACAAATTATTTCGAATTAATCTTACACTTCGAACTTTTATGACAACATCTTAGTATTATAACACCGCATTGAATTAGACTCGCTGCACTATATATACGGTCAATAATTTTTTAGAGATACATCGCAATGTAATGATTTTGTTGCCATCACTATTGCATGAGAAAGAACAAGTTCTTCTCAAACAATTTCTGGCACAATATCGACGGTCCTAAATTTCACACATTGGCTAAAATAGATTTCCACAGAATTTAAAAATGTCAGCATTAAAACGGACTTATTTTATCAATACAAACCTCTCAATGTACTTTGCCGCAAAACCTTCCAAACCCCACACCTGACACCATGATTAAATTTGGGTTTAAATAAATAGAAAAGAGAAGAGAGACGAGACGTTTCCTATCGTCTCATGTATTTTAAAATTGGAGACTCGTAGTGATTACTCCACCAATTTTACGTTACGATCAGGTTCAGGTTCAAGATCCCGGTTTTCATTACTTATCGTTTTGTCAGGTGGTTTGCCGAGTGGCACTTGATTGGCACGTGAATAAGGTTCTCTTTTTGGACAGGTTCCGGCAAAATATAGTACAAAGAGAGGGTTTTAATAAAACACTGATACATTTCATATTAAATTGAGAAATTCAAGTTCACATCCTACGTTAACAAAAATCTGTAGTACATGAAAAATGTAATCCGCACAAAATCAAAGTCCCAAAATCTATCAGTTAAAGCATCACTTAAATCATCTAATATTACCGGGGAAAGTGTGTGATCCGTTGCAGTTCCAATGCGTATGACAGTTGTCAACGACCGTAACTCGCGCACGCGCAGCGACCGTATATACCGCGGCTGTCCCCGCGCATTGCAGCCGTATTTCACGTGGCCGTACTACAGCTGTACTGCGCGTCTCTCTTCACAGTTGCTCTTTCTTCATAGCTGTCATATCTCGTTGATATAGACGCCACACGGCCAGTCTGGCCGTAGGTTGTTTTTACAAAGACCGTACTTCAGAATAGTGGCGTAGTCTTCATCGTCGATGATGTTACTGCGGGCTCAATCGTGGCTTCTCGCGTTGAAGATGAATGCAATCGTACTGCTTCTTCTTGATGGAAATCGTGGCCGTATCGTACTGATGATTCTTGGTGTAGAGCTTGAAACTTAGATCTTCTGATGAGGTGCGTTATTATCGTTGTACAACGAGTGATGATGTTGACCGTATAATATGTTAAAGTCGTAGCCGTCCATTGTATAGGTTTGACGCGCTCACAGGAATCTTGGCTGCTTCGATAAGTCTGGGTTTCTCGCGACCGTCAATGTTCGAAAACGGTAACACCGCGGCCTCACGGCCGCAGCCGTTACGTCCGCTAACTGCAGACCGTACGTGCGCGACGGTCAACTCTTTAGAACCAACAACCCTTGGCGCGAATTTCTAAGGTCCTTATATACGCTAGTGTCGCGCACAGTTAAGCCTATTCCCTCGAAACCGACGCCACATTCCTTCGAATGGAATGTCCCTCGCGCTGAGCGCCAACGTTTCAATGTAAACAACCTTTCCCACGGTCTCGAAACAACGGCGCCGCATTCTTAACATCTATGCATAATACATGTTCAATATTACCTACTGTCAATATTACCTACTTCATTCACTTCCTTCTTTGCCTTTTGCTTTGCTTTAACCGTATTGTTCATCCACTGTATTTTATATTCACGTATTCACTGTTCACACACTGTATCCACCACTGCATTGATGGCAAATAATTAACTGGATAGATGTTACGTAAATCAGAGTGTTATCTCAGATATTATTGGAATTTAGGCGTATCTAATATTATTTAGTGAATGAATTCCATAGGATCCAGCCGAGCCTGTCATTGACCCTTTAGTGAGCAAGCTATTATTTTGAGAAGTTATTTACACTTTTCAAAATTTTATGATCCAGCTTCTACCAAAATGCTCACATTTAACGATGATTGAGATGATGAACGAATTAAATAAAAATGAGATGATGAACGAATTGAATAAAAATGAGACGATGAGCATTGAGATGATGAACGCATTGAATAAAAATGCTGAACATATATATTTTCTTCTCAGGGGAGTTCAGCGGGCTCCCCGGGTACGACTCCTCCCCCCCACACGCCCCCCGAGGTGCCAGGGTTCCTCCTGCCCCCCGACGGCATCATCATCACTATGCCCACGCCTGACGTGGAGACGCTCGACGAGGCTATCAAGCAGAAGAAACACAAGGACGAACAAGAGAACAAAAAAGGAAAAGAGAACAAAGAGAACAAAGAAGGAAAAGAGAATAAGGAAGGAAAAGAAAACAAAGAGAATAAAGACGTAAATGAGGACAGTAACAGAGTGGTGGACAGCGAGGAATTGAAAGGAAAGGCAGAGGGCGAAAAAGTTCAAGCGGACGAGAAGAAATCTGAGAAGGGTGAGAAAAAAAGCCCTCGTTACGTTTGTCTTGTTCCAAAAATTGTATACTAAAATATTTATTCCTGTGTCATGTATGGAAAATTTTTATTTCATTTTTAGTGTTACGTTGACGGCTTTTGTTGGCTAATAACATTTTACTTTGCTCGTGTTGAAGTGTAACTTTTAATCGAATGACCGGAACGATGTTGTGAAGTCATATGTGATGTTAATGCTGTGATGTCTTGTTGCTAAAATTTTCTTGAGGCTTGCTATCAGTTTTGCACAATATCCTGTGATGGTTATGCTATTTTGTTGCATTGAGCGATTATACGTCAATGAACATTATTTGCTAGCGTGTAAGGAGATGGCTTGATCGATATTATAGTCTTTGGTAGTTCACAGACTTTGGTTCAATAGGTTAAAGGCAGGTTCGGTCGTAGCAGGGCTCACATCAAAATATTTTCATAAATGAAGTGACTAAAAATTCTCAACAAAATCAGGCAAAAATGCCATGACCGAACGTATGGATGGATTTATATCGTGGCTTCCATGCAAGAAAATTACTGCTGTTCAGAGTTTTTTCATGATGAGAATCAGATATTGTGTTCGTGATCAGCAGGTTGGTAAAGATTTTAATGACAACTAATGGGTGGATTTATCATTAGGCCATCGTCGCGTCTAAATCCTAACATCGTAAAGTTTGATTGAGGAACTTTCGGTAAGACTGCAGAAATTTGTAAGATGCTCCGATTGTTCATGGCTTACTTAATTTAAATAAGTGACGTTATCAGGAAAAAAATTAACGATTTTGAAGGAGAATCTTAACACTCCAAAACGCGGGATGACATAATCACGACAATCGATACCCATGATAAATGTTTCCCTCTGAAGCATAACAGCGCGTTTAATTCTTAGATCAAATACGATTTAGGCTTTTATAACTCATTCCTCCTAGACGCCAAATTGCTGAAATTATAAATACCATGGTCGTGGTTAGCGTGTAGTTCGGGTAGCCACCAAAGGCTCTGAAAATAAATATTTATGATAGGTTTTACTTTTTGCATCGCTGCATCGTTGTTGCATCAGCTAATGCCAACCTCCCCCTCCCCTTGCTTGCCCCTCCCTTGCATGCATCATCCGCCCGACGACGCATCACGGCCGGCATCACCTCGGCACCACACCGTGCATCGCTCCGACATCACTGTAGTATACCTACGCCTCAACACTAATTAAATATATTTGTCTGCACGCCACGCACTTAAACATGACCGCATTCTTACTTCTAAATTACTTTTGATTCTCTCTCTTATGGATCAGTATTTGTTCGCTGCGTTTAATATTCCTCGTTTCTCATCATTAAATCAACTTCCATGTTCGATTCAACGAACTCATTTCTCTTCCATTTTCAAATCCTATTTTTCGTTTACGTTAATGATTAATGTGTGATGTCCTGAAAAACATTTCTGCCAATTAACTGGCGTCTGCAATAATGTGTCTAAACTGAAGTGAATATTGCATATGAAATATGAAGTGAATATTATTACAATACATCGTTATTAATGTCCATTATGAAATTAAAACATATCCTAAAAGTTACATTAAAAAACTTCTTTGTAAAACTTGGTGTTCACTCTTTACACTTCTCTATCCCCCATTAACAATTATTGTCTCAAATTGTGGTATTTCTGATCTGGTGTCTCCATGCTTTTGATCCCTACACCTACAAGTGGTGCAATATCTCGTGTCTCACCCCTATTTACCACCTCTCGTTAATATACTCCATAACCCTTCTCTTTGCCCTCCACCGATGTCGTGCAAGTGTCCCTTGTTGAGGGTACATCTCCTATTTGTAACCTCTTTGTAACAAAAAGGTTACATCTCCTCTTTGTAACAAAGAGATTACATCTCCTCTTTGTAACAAAGATGTTACATCTCCTCTTTGTAACAGAGATATTAAATCTCCTCTTTGTAACATCTTTTTTGTCATGACGCTCGCGTCGTCAGCTTCCATATTCCTTTCCACCCTTCCACATCATCCACACTCATAAAAACGAAGTTTGGGATATTATTGACATATAACAAATTAAATTGTTAATGTAATAACACATCGTTGTTGTAATAACACATCGTTGTTGTTAATAAACACATCGTTGTTGTAATAACAACGAGCAGACGTCGAGGTCGATACAGCCGACACAGGTGCCTCATTTTCCATGGTTTTAGCAGGCAAAAAGACTGAGCTCTACCAGCGTCAGTTTAGCTCCTCCCCAGACAGCGAGAGCACAGCGGCTCCCCAGCCCCAACAGCTTCCCCCCAAGACCTCTTATGATGAGCTGGTGTCCAGTCCTGACGTCTCCGTGCCTGACGTGAGTATCGATAACTGAATATACGTACAACTAAATTATATTTGTGGACAATATCGGTGTTTCTGTGCAAATATCATCAGAAGATGTTTACAGTACATGTACTCTGGCCCGTTGACTATGCCCAAGTCAGAAGTAAGGCCGCTTCCACTTGAATTTAAAGTTTGGTGTACTCAATGAATTTTCACATGCACCACAATTGCCCAATGCTATGTGTCTGGAATATTTAAGCATTATTTTTCTCATTGTAATTTTGAGTATTAGGACCTTTGTGAATCACTAAAAAATGTAGCATCGAACGTCTGACACTAATGTGTGATGTTTGTTTTTAACAACTGACGAACTAACCTGGGATCTTGGTTAAAGCCAAGTAATGGCTGCTAAGTGGAAATTGCTTTTATGCATACGATTATTGCGTATATATTCATTCTTTTGATAAATATATGTGAATATAGACTCCGGTTATCACTGTATCTTAAGGTTTCGGACACGATTCACGACAGTGATCTGTCAGACGACACTGCCACTGAACAGCCGTTAGAAGAGCTCGAGATAATAACGTTTTACTTTCCTATTCTGCTCGATACCGGATTTACTAATTTTCCTTGTCAACTAGCTGGCGTTAACCCCAGTCAGGTTAAAAAAACTTTCGAAATGAAAGTGTTAAAAATTTGTCAGCTTGCATTCAAAAGCGAAATCTCTAAACACTCTTGCGGCAACAACTTCAAAATTGCACCAAGCGTTCCGCGACCCTATACGGGAGTTTGCTACTTTTTCCAGCAAATCATTAGTACTAAAACAATTCTCGAATAAAGTGAAATGTAAGTCACGTAGAAATTAGGCGTTAACTGGAAGCCATGAAATCTAATATATCGTATCTAATATCTAATAATAATAAAGTTGTAGAATCTTATGAAATACAGGTTTGTGTCGAGGTATAGGAGCGTCATGCGAACCAGACACGTTTGTTTCAATTCGTTCACGTTACCTGAGCCGCGTCAACATTCGTTAATATTCTCCACAGCGCAGCAACTAATACTTCAAATCTTAAGCTGATTAAATAAATATCGGAGATTAAATTTTATCAACATCTATAATCAATCGAAATTATAGGAGTTCTTAATTTCCTAGCAGGAAATTTCTCAGAAAATGTTCAACGCTTTCATTTCGGAAATTTTGCATGCAAAAACCGATTTCATGAAAATTAGTTCATAGTTTCGTCCAATTACGAGAAAATTTGTTTAGTTGAGTTCTTGGGATTTATGTTAGAAGCACGGATTGCTGATGCGGCGCAATGTGAACCGTGCCACGGTTCACGCTAACAGAGAGCTCATCATACAAGATCTAGTTGCTAGCTCCTGCTACGATACCATATGTTATTTTGAACGCGTTTTAGATGAGTGTCATTGAGGTCAGTTTGTGTCTGGAAGTGAATTAGCTAGATAGACACTAGTTAGCGTTCTGATAATTATTGATTTATTTGCACTAGTACAAACCAAACGGCACAAGTTGCCAAGCCATATAGGAAATGACGTTGTGATCACTCCAATTCAAGACAAGAAACAAAAGGATACTGACCGATTTTATTAGATTCATTGATTCGTTCATTGAAATGTAAACAAAAATTTGTTGGTAATCTCGAAAAGAACTTCACAAGATACCAAAAAATTATTCAAAGTCTTAAAAAGCGTATTTTTCATATAAATGGTTAAACTAGGCCACGGAAATTATGATCACCATAAGAAATTCGAAAGAAAATTACTCACAGAAAAGCTTCGAACATTTTACATTTATTTTCGGCGTTTCAACTAGTAGCTCTTTTTTAGTTGGTCATGTTTTGACCCTCGTTTGTGCATTCTTTTAATCAATGGTCCTGACTTTTTGAACGATGTTTGTGAACCAACATTTCCACGCAATTTTTAGCGTTCATTAATTTCCTGCTCATGTTTGTCTCCTATTTGTCACTTCCCAATTGTTCACTACCCTAAGGAATGTAATGATGACACAAATTTTTCCTTTTTCAATGTTACCTCTACGCACTGCAATTCCTTCTTTATTGCTACTTGCCATATATAAACCAGATTTCCTCTTCCAATGGAACGCAGAACTAAAAAACATAGATCTGTTACGTCGAATATTATTGATTCAGTTAATCCATGATCTGAATGATCATTGAAGGGACCTGTGGCAAAAGAAGCATTTGATCTTCATGCTGGAATCTCAGTTATTTTCTGGACATGCGTCCGCCTACCTGCCATCAATTTTAAGGCGTCTCATGAGTGACAGGGAATGCCCGAGGGGCGGTCGGAGCTGAGGCGCTTAAATGTTCGCAATGCATCGTTCGAATAATTGACACATTACATAATTCATTTAATGATAGTATTACATTATTGTCGCCGGCGTATGACTGATTGGATAATCCAGTTAATGATAGCATAAAATTTTTGTTCCAGCAGCTAATTACTGTGATTTTAATCAACTTATAGTTTTGCATTATTGTTATAATTCTAATTTCTTTTGCATCTTCACCTTCTACTACTAATTTATCAGTATTATCAATGTAATTAAACTAGTAAACGGTATAAATAAGTTTGCATGTGTTCCAGCCTGACAGCGGAGGTACAGGCCAGCCTTCTCCCAACGGACCCAAGCAACCCTCTCAACCCTCAACACAGAAACCTGCTGACGGAGGTGAGTTGTGCTATTATTTTTGTATAATGAAGTTATAATATTATTCCTTATAATTCTTAAGGGCGGGCAGTAACGTTCAAGTGTAAGTAGATTCCTGCTAAGGGTAAATAGGTCAGTAGTCAATAGGTCAGACTCATGAGGTAAATTTGTGTTTGGTTTAAATGTGCGTAGATGGAAGGCGGTCCTAGTTGTAATGGACAATATAAAAATTTGTAATTTAGAGCAATTCTTTATCGTTATTTTGGCTCTAGTTTCGTAATACAAATTGGCATAGACTAAAAGCTGAGCATTGCGAGCTCAAATATTTTGGTGCTGGAATCAACTGCGATCCTTTTGCCTCAGAGTGAAGGGAAGTGAATGCAGCGTGTGGGTCGTAGGCCAGAATAAGAACAATACCTGACCGTTAAAGAATAGTTTTAGGTGAGAGGAGTTTTATTTTAGCCCCTGTCAGACTGCATAGTTTTTCCATCTTATAATTATTGTGTCAAGTGTATAGATACATTTGTACCTATGCAGTTAGGCAAGGATTAAAGTGATCGTAGCTTGCGTACAATTTATTAACATCCTAACATGTGAGCAGGACTTGCGGTGACAGAGATCGTGTTGACGGCGCCCACTCCTACAGTTGAAGAGGCCACCACCTGCAAGGCTGAGGAGGCCACCACCTGCAGGGCTGAGGAGGCCACCACCTGCAGGGCCGAAGAGGCAACCACCTGTAGGGCTGCACCTCAACCAGCTGACTCACTGGACGCGACAGATGGCAACCACTCGGACCCTGAGAACGAAGTCAGTTTGCTGGATGATGACGATCATCCGCCACCTCCACCTCCAGCTCCAAGTGGAGGAGGTGGATCAGGTGTGGAGGAGAGAAGAAGAGAGCAGGAGGAAGTATGTAGAGGAACAGCTCCAAAAAGTGGAGCAAAAGTCAAAGGCAGCAACAGCATCGAAATTTGCAGTGAATCTGGAAATGGAGCAAAGTCTCCAACTCCAAGCGAAGGGCCGCCAGATCTCGACCTCGAAAAACTCAAGGATCTGGACAGGCTCAAAGAGTCCGATGCTTGAAAATGATTATAAATTGTTTGGGAAGAATACCGGGCTCTGGTGACGCGTTGAATTCGATGAAATGCGTTAAATGCGGAATCAGAAGTACGGAACAACTCGTGCTATTAAAAAATTGAAAAATCTGTTAAAAGCTAAACGACCGAAGGTTCGAACGCTTCTTCTCGAAATTTAAACCGAAGACTGGCTGCATGGCGGCAGTAGAGCACAGTTTCTGCAGCCTGATGTCTTGCATCAAACATGATATGATTTTGATCTTCCCGCACGTAGGCTGCTGTTGGCAGCAATATGGTCAGCAGAGCCACATCTCAATTGTCTACAAGTCTCTGGTTCAATTAAACATATTTTATGGAAAGATCGGGTTACAAAGGCCGGATCCCTTGTGAATCAAGTCTCGAAAAATTCAAGAATCGGCAACAGGCCATGGGCCTATTTCTTCAATGCCGACACTTCTATTCTATTCTACAGTGCGGGACGTTATTATCGCATTTCGTTTTTATCTTCTTGCCTTGTTCCTCATGTAGAAACTCACGTAAGATTTTCAGCCTGATTTTAAGTTTTGATTTGCTGGATAATCCGTCCCAATGCCACAAGGAAAAAATATCTGTTGACTTTCGAAAACTTCAGAAGCACTTGTCCACAATGAATCGAATTTTTGTATTTACCTTAGTTAAGATCTTTGTTGTGGATTTCGCATGTAATTACCTCTCCCTTTTATCAAAACCACAATCAAAACGCTCAAAATACAAACATATTTGTATTCCGGTGAACATCAAGAAAATTAACGCCCGTAAATTCGTCAGGATTTTGCTTTTTGAAATTTCGTGCTTATTTTATTCGTTAATTTAAATTGATGACGAACGGTAAATTTATCTCAGGAGCAATTCTTGAAGAAACGTTGCAACACACGACGCATTATTTGCGCTAGGATATTAAGCATTAAAACTGCCATGTTGTTGGTGCGAGTAGCTGACTTACCGACCCTGTAACTTTGCAGATACTCATAAGTATTCATGCTCTAGCAGTTGTGTAGTCTTAAGCAATATTAAAACGTTCATTGTTCAAAGCCCTAGTAAGTATTGTACTTACTCTTCTCCTTTCCTGCGTCACTGTAATTATTGTATCTATTGTTTTAATACTCGTAACGTTGTTCCTCAGACTCGTCTTGTTGTGACCATCAATGACATGAGATCATGTCTACACTCATGATGATGGTTATTGTTTCCCTGTATGATATTTGAATGTAATACAATACAGGTTTAATAGTCTTCTGTGTGTCGTTTGGGTGACGTTTGTTATGGCATGTGCAATGACTTGACCTCATTAGAGTAGCGTTATTTTCATTAGGTTATTTTAAAGCTAACTATGGTGTTTGCGGTGGACTTTGTCAAAAATATATATTAGGAGTCATTCATTGAGAGGTGTTTCTTAATTAAGTTTTATAATCAATAGATAAAAATCTTGGCAATTCGTTGACACAAAATCATTAAATTATTAAACAGAAATTTGTTTATTATAATGACTTTTTGAATGTTAGTTATGCGTATGTTTTTCATGGCGCGTTTGCAGCTTTAATATTTTCATCACAAAGCAAAGCCACACACAAAACTCGCATTTGCTAGGATTTATTGAAATCTTGAACATGTTTTTATGAGTTTATCGATTAGATTTATTAATTTTCTGGAGCAGTTCGATTTTAGATTAACTTGTTTCTTTAATTTATATATTTATGTACATGTCTAGTATCGATAGATCTTGCGATGAGCGTGAGGCCGATGAAGGTGATGTCGCTGGTGGTGTCTGAGATTGAAAATAATGTTCATCACATACGATGAACATTATTTAATAGAAGTTATTTAAGTAATTAGAGCCATTGAAAATGACTGGTGGTTCCTCAGATCACATTAATGTTTTTTATGATAGTCGCTTCAGATTTGGGTGCCGAAATCTGCCGTCGAGTTTTCTCAAAGATAATTATACTATATTTGTAGAGGACGACGATATCAAACTCATTGAATCTTTTATGATTTGCCCCTAATTTGAAGAATAAATTTAGGAGAATGTAACTAGCGTATTGACTCCTAATTTCGATTTATCCAAACTTATCCCTGAGAATTACTGACTATTTATAATGAGTAAGAAATAAATTTTAGTTTCTAATTGAAATGAAAGTTTTTGAACAATTATTCGTAAACGTGATTCTAATTAGGTTTCAAATTACGATTATTTTCCTGAATTCATTATCTTTGTTGCGCACGTACTTTTTATTTTGTCTGAAAGTCGGAAAAGCTATAAAAATAAACTATTCAACACTATCTGTAATATCGTCATAGAAGATGTAAAGGATTTGGTCTTGCTAGGTACTGGTCACTATAGTAGCTATTTATAGTTTAAAATGAAGGTGACCTGCTCGGAAGTACAGCGCACCTGACGCACAAAAAGAAAATCAAATAGTGTTCAATTTATAAACCTCGTGTCTACATCACAACAGTGTACGTCATGCAGAGCACTAACGATGATTAATTATTTTTACACGTGAGGTTATTATTCAAACTCTGTTGTGAGCGAGGAGAATTATCCTCATTTGCTTCGTTCTTATGGTGCCCAGTCTTAATCCACTGAGATTGTGCAAATTTTTATCTTAAAACGTTGATATTGCCAACATATCGAATACTTTATTAATAATTCGTAATATTTTTCTCAATGAAATGATTACTAATGTTAAGATTTTCGTAAAATTTGCGCGTTGAATGTTGTAGTTTGATTATTACTTCATTTTCTTAACAGCAAATTGCCATTATTAAAGAAAATTTAACTTCCAAAATTTCGTCAGAATTAGGAAGTATCCCTGCAGTCAGTGACGCAGTCTAGCTGCGCTGAATTTAAGGATTAGAATTTTACTGCCTATCGAATACAATTATTGTATTTTCTGATCAATTACATCCACTAGAAATATAAGTTATATAATTCCATTCATTTACTTTTGTTTCTGGAAACAATAATAATGAACAGTTATAGAATGGATCTGAAAGCAGAGTGTCATCGAATTCATTCATTCAAATTATAGAATAAATGCAGTTAACGATCCTCTCACATATAACCTTTATAAATTTTTTAAGCTGTACAACTTAGTTTGAGAGATGATTTTAACCTCATGTAATAAATTATTTTTCAGTTTGGATGCAAATATCTAGCGCAGGCTGAGGCTGATGAGGTTGAAACTGTTATTTGCGGTAATGAATTTTATTAACGCCTAATTTAAACATCGCGATAATTCAGAAGTGTACTTCTTGATTCGCCTGGTCGACGCGCCTCTCATTGTTAAGTATGACTAAAGCGTTACGAGTATAAAGACAGAATTATTTCTAATAATATTCTACCGTGAATTTTTATTCTGTTGAATATATAGATCTTTATATTTTCGATAGCCAATAACGTACTTCAAAGACTGAATAGTATATATTAACAACAAAGAAAATGCCAAAAAATTTACTACAGTTTCATTAAAAATGAAAAGAAAATATTCTTCTTATGTTCAAAAATTCACTAGTAAAAAATTAGTACAATTAAAACGAAGGAAATTTTTGAAGTGACTATAACTTGAAACCTAATTTCCAAATGTCAAAGTTCAAGTATTATTGATCAATAATAAATTACGCTCCTTTCTCAGGTAGAATAATGTTCTTCATTAACAGATGAACTTCACTCTGACTTTCTAGTACAGTTGTGCACAGTGCGCATCAGCGTTAGTCGGTATAAAGTCGCGTAACCTAAACATAAGACATAGGGAACACAGTGGCAGGAGTTATCATACTAGGAAGTTACTTGCGCTGCCACCTCATTATGCTGGCGCCTGCTCGCCTAGCTATCAACTTTGGTCAAAAGGGATTTAAATGTTTTAAGCACGGCCCTTGTGATTCAGATCAGAGGATAATGCTCCAGAGCATATTTTCAAACAGAGACCTTGTCTAAACAGTAAACAGGGATTATACTTTTTATTATCTTGGAATTGTCAATCGATAGGTTTTACGTTTCTACACCCTATAGTGGTCAATTTAGGTTCTAATCTCTTTCTTGCAAATTTTATACTTGTGCTAATTATAGCTGTATTTTTTAAGTTTTAAACTGATGCTGAAGCTGTCACCTGAAACATTTCTAATACAAAAGCTGAGTTATTATATCCCGACGTATGTTTAAATGTCTGTATTTATTTTATAGCTTCTTTGTTTAACAACACATGTAAAACAAATGAATAATTTGTTTTCGCTACACATGTAAAACAGATGAAGAAACACTATGCATGCAGCGATGATAATGTCCGCAGCTTCTGGTTTGTTTGATTATATTCTTTAGAAAAATTTATTTATTTATTTATTTATTGCCTAAATACATAAAATTAATCTATTTTTCTTGTGTCTGGTTTACGTTCATCAAACCAGAAACGTGTGCACTCTTCTCTGCTCCCTGTTAGAGAACTCCATTTTTACATGTTATACGTAAAACAATTAGAAACCGGTGTTTGATGCGGTTTTCCTTAGTTTTATAGAACATTAAACTTCATTATACAACGATGGCTACTTTAGAAATGGTGAACATTATGAGCCTAATGTATCATTAACAATTGTAACATTATCAACATTCCATTATCAGCATTGTAACCATTATGAAATGGGTACTTTTTGACCGCAACGATCGCTCGCGCAGCTTCCTTCTCTTTCAACCCCAGGCTTCCTTCTTGTCGTGTCTTAAGAGTCCGTACAGCTCACCACCCACAGACATCTATAGTCTCTTAGTTAACTAAATGATGGAATATTTTTTTTTTATTCATGGCGAAAAAGTTTGATCATATAATCGTTGCATTTTTCTTTAAGAAGTAATATCTCAACCCGATTGGAATTCAAGCATTTCTCGTAGAATTTAAAATAATTCGAGCTTTTTTATAATTATATTTTTAGCGAAAATCTTAATGTAATCTAAAGATTCAACGATTTAGCGATGATAAGAATGTAACTTCCCTCGCTCGGTCTTGCTACGACGAAACCCTTGCTTTATAGTGAACAAGAGAGCATTGTGTGCTGAGGGACATACTGATTTAATTTCTGCACGAATGGCATGAAATAATGTATAGAAGAACTTATACATAGATGTGGTTAAAGTGGTTTAATTAAAAGTGTTGTGTACAGAAACATGGAATAAATTAATAAACAAGTTGAATGTCTATTTATTCATCGGAAGTATCCTTGCTTACTTCGAACTCACGCACTATGAGGATTGTGCAGTTACGAAGAGATTTTTAACTATCGAAATAAGATGGCTTCTAAATTAACAAGTCATTTAATATTCAGTACACATTAACGATTGCTTAGCCGGATGCTTTATTAAGCTACATTGATTTTTTTAATTGAAACATAGAATTTATTGGGACTAACTTCATTTTATTTTTATTAAGTAAGCATACAGAAACTCGTTCATATTACGAGATCATAAGTTCGCACCGTTGCCAGTTCATCTCCCTTACTTGCACCATTTATTTTTCAAGTGTAAGTAAAATTTCCAGTCCAACGATATGTGCCCAGTTTCTCTTCCGGTACAAGTGCAAACGTACCCAAACAGTTCCATTACACAATTCACTACCAGTGTAAGATAGTACGCTATTAATCGCACGAGCACCACTAATACTAGGATGCATGCGCGTCTAAATTACTAGCATTTATAAACGTGCCAATAACAGCACTAGTACACACCCAATACTCACTCGCAGATATCTACAATAAGATAAAGATAAATGATAAATGCAGCAGCACACACACTGCAGTTATTGAAGCGAAGCTCGACAAATTGGCTGCTGCAGTTACAGGTCTTCTTCCCAGCCACAGCCTGCCGCCACGGCTGTCGACTGATGGTTTTTGTGAGACCTCAACGTGTGATCTTCTTTCTCTGCAGCCATTAGATACGTGTGATCTTCTTTCTCTGCAGCCATTAGATGATTACTTGTGTAATCCAATTCTTTTAGTGATTTTTGATTATTTATTGCTTGGACAAGTTGAGTTTAATCTATGATATTTTCTGTTGTATCATAGTTTTCAATCGAGTGAATTTTGTCTTGAGGTGTGGTGGTTTTTCGGCGAAGTTGAGTGAAATGGTTTCAATATAGGGCATACTTTGTGATTGATATTTAATGTTTAGACAATAGAAATTTAAAAGCGAAGAAAACACCACAAAAATTTAGCATATCTCTACTGAAAACGTTTCGGAGACCAGCTCCATCGTTAGTTCGATAAATCTAGAACACAGATAAAGGCAGAAAATTAGTTTGGAGTTAATAAAAAAAACACAGAAGTTAAAAACCTAAATTTACAGACAAAGGGCAGAATAATAAAGTAAGTACCTATCTATTCTTACTGGTGAATAATTTCAAAATAGGTTCGTTTTTTAGGTACAAAGATATCCTTCCTTCTCATATGCGATCGTCCCTAGTTTATAAATTTAGTTGTGCACGATGTGCATCTGCGTACTTTGGGATGACGGCACGCAACTTTTACATTAGGGTCGCTGAGCATAGAGGGAGGAGTTATAGGACTGGGCAGTTACTATCGCGCCCTCCTCATTCGGCTGTGCGCACTCACGCCGAACAGTGCAATGTTCCAGTGTCCGACACAGACTTTAAGGTTTTAGCTTATAGTTCTGGTGCTTCCGATCTGCGTATTTTGGAATCATTGTATATTTTTAAAGAGAAGCCTAGTTTAAATGCTGCCTATAGTTCTTATCCATTAGAATTTGTGAATACTTACTTTATTATTCTGCCCTTTGTCTGTAAATTTAGGTTTTTAACTTCTGTGTTTTTTTTTATTAACTCCAAACTAATTTTCTGCCTTTATCTGTGTTCTAGATTTATCGAACTGACGATGGAGCTGGTCTCCGAAACGTTTCAATAGAGATATGCTAAAGTTTTGTGGTGTTTTCTTCGCTTATAAATTTCTAGTGAATCTGCGATTAAAGCAATCTAGGGACTATTTTACATGTTTAGACAAAGAGGAATTTATTTTCTGTAAACTTTATCTTAGCTTCACTTTTTAATCTAATTTGATTCAAGGTTTAACAGTTATTCCATAAAAGCCTGTCAATTGGCCTCTTGTGGCATTGCAGGGCCAATTACACAACTTGTAATGGAGCTCCCAATTGATTTGACCTTGTAATGGGCCTCCCAATTGGTTACAAAATGGCTCTAAATGGACGAGAATAATAAACGAAATTAGAAGTTGAATTCAATTCAACCGGTCTAATGAAACTGCGAGAGTACAGCTCAACCTTGTGAACAATAACTTTCAAAAGACTTCGATGTCGCCATCATGCTGATCGATATCTACATCGAACATCAATGTTGGTCTTCATTATAGTTCATCGATTTTATGGACTAAGACCTGGTGCAATTAGGAGGAATTGTGAAGTAACAGCAGATATATTGTAGGCACACATTCATCTTTCTATAAAGTATTGACAATGAAGGCTTAGAAATTATTACTGACAAATTATTGACAACTTCTGAAGATTTTTAACTGATGTTCGCCATTACTCGAAACCCCTAAAATTTTATGAGCTTCTCAAAAGAATTCAAAATTCGAAATGCTAATAGTGTACCCTACTGATCAGAAAAAACTTGGTGCACAATAATGCGGGAGATTTAAAATGAAGAAACAGCTTCTACTCCACAGTTAATTTTAAAGTAATATTGGTTAGCATTCACTGTGCCTGATGAAGTAGTATTGGTATACTTGATTTGTACCTTCCTGCCAACATGAACAACTCTACCAACAACACCAAGCACCGGAGACATGAATCAAAGGTGAGCAGCTTGTATTCTACCTGCGTGTGTTGTGCAAATTATTTCGTTTTTAGAAAATTTTTATATGTTGTTGTTGTCTTATATGCTGTTGTATTCTCAAGTGAAAATTATGCACTACTAATCAGAAATTAAAAAGTGACAAGTTAGAAATATTTTGGTCAACGTGAAATTTTAATTATGGACATAAAAAAAACTTTTAGGCGCAAGTTCAAGCAACCATTCAACTCCTGATTGCGCGATAGTGTCATCGGATAAGTTCCTCATACTCACCATTGACTTATGAAAATTTGTATAAAACAGGCAATGCTGTCGAATACTTGCAGGAGACATAACTTGAACTTATAAATGCAGGCTTAACGGTGAAAATGGTCTGCTAGTCATGCTAAACTACACGTCCTAATTTACTTCAAAATATTTTTCAACTTAATTTCTTCTCGCGCTTCGAAAATCGCGAAAATTCCTGAGTTAACTCGAGTCGTAGGTGTTATTTATTGATATTGAAAACAGCATAGAAGACCAATAACATACACGCGATTAGACAAGAACTGTAATTGTACCTTTAAAATTTAAAGTCTACATTCTATAATATAGAGTATTTTGTTAATGATTCAATTATTTGTTAAATTTTTAAATAATGAGAACAATATAATATTTTTATAAATGTAGTAAAATTCTGGTATTTTATCATTACCACGTTTTTCTTAGTTTCGTTTAGTCTCTGTCTGTCATCAAAAATTCAAACCTTAATTTAGAGCACTTCTGAAGATCCTAGAAACTTGAAATTTGGTATGCATGCTTATGCTGCCTAACAATTCTATATTTGATCCGTAATAATAAAAAAATTAAAAAAAATTTTTTAGTTAAAAAAACTTAAAATTCACTGTTGGGAATCGAGTTTTTTGTCGAACATCCAGAATTGCCAACCCTGGAAAAGATTTGAATTGCTAAAATTGCTAAACTAAATGGTAGAAAATAAAATAAATAAATAAAACTTTTAAATACCACGTTTTCTTAACGGACAAAAAAGAAAAACATTACCTCTTACATAACATTACATAACATACAACATAACTTTAATGTTATGTAAGAGTTAATGTTTTTCTTATTTGTCCGTTAAGAAAACGTGGTTTTTAAACGTTTTTTATGTATTTTATTTCCCTTGAATTAATGGGCAGCTGCTAATTGTTATTGAAAAGCTAAAGTATTTTTTATAGGCAGGATCGGATTCAATATATTTTTTTTAAATATCTAGGACTTGTAGTGCTATCTTTTGATATTTTTTTTTAGAATCGTGTGAGTATTACATGCTTCGTTCAATATTTCTAAATTGATTTATATTTTATAAGGTCATCCTAATTGAGTTATAGTTTTCGCGGTTATTCCTAATGAAGTTATAGTTTTCCAGGTTATTCCTAATTGAGTTAAAGTTTATAAGTTTATTCCTTATGGAGTTATTGTTTATGAGGTTATTTCTAAAGGAGCTATAGTTTTTAAGGTTATTCCTAATTGACTTATAGTTTATACGATTATTCCTAATTGAGTTATAGTTTACAAGGTCATCCTAAATGAGTCCTAGGTTTTTACGTTATACCTAATGGAGTTATAGTTTATAAGGTTATTCCTACTTGGGTAATACTTTTTAATGTTATTCCTAATGGAGTTATAGTTTATAAGGTTATTCCTACTTGAGTTATACTTTATAATGTTATTCCTAATGGAGTTATAGTTAATAAGATTATTCCTACTTGAGTTATACTTTATAAGGTCGTCCTAATGGAGTTACAGTATATAAGGTTATTCCTACTTGAGTTATACTTTATAAGGTCATCCTAATGGAGTTACAGTTTAGAATGTTATTCCTACTTGAGTATTGAGTTATAGTTTACAAGGTCATCCTAAATGAGTCCTAGGTTTTTACGTTATACCTAATGGAGTTATAGTTTATAAGGTTATTCCTACTTGGGTTATACTTTTTAATGTTATTCCTAATGGAGTTATAGTTTATAAGGTTATTCCTACTTGGGTTATACTTTATAATGTTATTCCTAATGGAGTTATAGTTTAGAATGTTATTCCTACTTGAGTTATACTTTATAAGGTCATACTAATGGAGTTACAGTTTAGAATGTTATTCCTACTTGAGTGATAGTTTATAATGTTATTCCTAATGGAGTTATACTTTAAAATCTTATTCCTAATGGAGTTATAGTTCAGAAGGTTATTCCTAATGGAGTTATAGTTTATAATGTTATTCCTACCTCACGAGCCAGACCTCAGCGGGCTGTGGGTCGCGAGCCAGCGCCTCCATGGAGGGCCTGGCGCTGACCCAGGAGGAGCGCACGTATCTGCTCTACGTGCAGCGCGGCGACGTAGCGTCCATTAAGAGGTCAGTACTAACTTTTGGCATATATAAAACATTATTAATAAATTACGCTTTATAAATATACGAAGGCCATTTGTATATTTAGGGCAGAGCCCTTCATTTAAACATGTTTGGTTAAAAATAATGCTAGTTTTATTGAGACCATTTGGTGGATAAATCAGGCTTCTCAGATATATAAAATCACAAATTTATTGAAATATTTTTTTGAAATATAATGATGAACACTTTGAAAATATATAAAGCCCCTGCAAAGCAAAACTTTTCCTGTTAGGAGTTTCTGAACAAATCATTGATACATCAGATTTTATAGCGTAATTCTGTTACGGGAGGAAAATGATAAACGCTTCGAAATAAATTGACCAAGTGATACTTGCAGATCAGATATAACAATTTAAATGATTTAATCAATTGTTCAAGAAGTAAAATTTTATCCTAATTCAATATTATCCATGGCTACATTCTGTTTTTTATTCGAAGGGATTTATTTCCGGGATAATAATTATACAATAAAAGATTCTATTAAACCTTTGAATAATTTTTTCGACCGAACGAATTGCGCTTTTTTTAACGAACGCCATTAAGTATAAAAGTATATAGTATGTATGTAAGAAATGTATTATGTATAAACGTTCCCGCGTCGTTCCCCCATCCAATTTTCGATTGAAAATTCGTCAGAACGTTATACGTTCCCAGGAAGCTCAACGGAACCGTAATTGTTCCAAGGCCATCACCTTAAACAAATTGCCATAAAGAAATAAATAATCTACAAAAACTTTAGTTTTTAATTAACAATATAAACAATAAACACATGACAGGCTCCTGGACCACGACCGGCCTCCGCCCTACGTATTGGATATCGACAAGACAAAAGAAATAAATTATCTACAAAACTGCTGATTGTTTATTAACAATATAAACAATAAGTACATGACAGGCTCCTGGACCACGACCGGCCCCCGCCCTACCTGTTGGACATCAACTGCACGGATCCTATAGGAAGATCTGCCGTCACCATCGCCATCGAGAACGAGAACATTGACCTGCTGGAGGCGCTGCTGGAGAGGGGCGTTGAACCCAAGGTGACATGGAACAGGTCATGTGTGATTGTCAGGGGCTGGACTAATGGAAATAGTTGAGCGTTTGGTAATTCCATCAACTAATTACTGACGGCTAGTCAAGCTAAGCTCACCAATCACAGGAGATAACTCGGCCGCTGCGTGTACTTGAGCGAGCTTTGCTAGTACGGTACTAGAGTGAGCTACCTACCTTCCTTCATTTATCATTTACTACATGAAAATCATGATTTACATGTATGGTATTTGTAACCATTTCTTCTGTAGACGCCTTCTAAGCTAAAATCTTTTCAGTGCATAGGCGCACTATTGACATCTATATTATTAAGTTTAGTTTTGGGCAAAATTGGATTTAAAACGGTCATTAGCGCATTTTTTTATGTATGGAAAAAAGGCGCTATTGTGCTCGTCATATCCGTCCGTCCGTCTGTGACTTCACGCTTTCGTCGATTTTAAGAATACTTTAAAACGTGACATGATTTAGATTATAGTTTTAGATTGGTTGAAGCTTGGGAAGTTCAAAGTTTACATCTAAATATAAACTGATATAAATATATGTAAACTGATCCGCATAATATACAAAATAATCTTTAATAAACTAACCGCGGAGTAATATACCAAACGCAAAATGATGTAGTGAGTGCAGTGCACTGTACTAATCTCAATGAAAACTGATTCATGCACGAGAGAATGCGTTCTCTGTCACTCACTGCAGTGAGTAATGATCTAATTTTTTTATTCGATTTAATTTTATAAATCTATCAAGATACTGAGCGGTGTCTTCCCAGCATTAATCTTGCGACCGGAGACAAAGATCGGTCTCCCGAATGACGATCATAAGAACAAACGTTGAAGGTTGAGCAGAGATGTTCCGAAAAAATATTACTCAGTACTCACTGCAATAAGTGACAGAGAGCGGATTTTCTCGTCGGCGAAAACGTGGTCACGGACGGACGGACAGACGAACAGACAGACGGACAGACAGACGGACAGACAGACGGACAGACGAATGGACATGACGAGCACAATAACCCTTTTTTCCATAAATGAGAAAGTGCGGTAAAAAGACTTTGCCTGATGGAGATAAAAGGAGAGCTATGGTTGAAAATGGAAAACTTTCGCAGTAGAAAACTTTCTTTCCAAAAACTTCTAAACTTCTGAAGATGAATTAAATCCAGTGGAAAATTCTTTAAACTAGCATGATTTTTTCTGTTAGCTTTCAAATTTTGGTTTTACCATCAACTGTGTTTGCATTTTGCATCATTATGTTGAACATCATGCATAGAAAATAAACAGTAGCATTAATAACGAACAATTTTCTTTCCACTGTACCGATACTATACTCAATTTACAGCTTTTCCTGACACTTGATCGGTCTAACAGAACTGGAACTGGGGACACGTTGCTTAATAAAGCAGTGCTAGGTCTGTCTGCATATTTATGCCGAAATGCAAGTTGGGCTGAGTTCAAATCACGGAAATTTATGGGCCAAGTTACATGCACTTTCAGCGCCACAAATGCCGCAGCCACAAATTTTTCAGGCCAGTATCAGCGCACCAGGGAAAGAACGAACATAAAAAGCAGGATTTTATTTATTATTCAAAAGCTACCACTTCATGTCTCTAATCACGTGTGCAATAAAAGCAGGCATCGTGCTACCCAGAAATGCCCTCAAATTTATACATCACTAATAAAAGTTGCTAACAAATTCAAGCTAATTAAATGGTTAACTCATTCTTAAATGATCTCGATTTTCCATAGAGAGTAATCGCTGTACAAATAGTAATTACCAGTCAGAAAAAAAGCGCACATGTATTGCAAAAAAATAGAACAAAAACTTACGAATAACTCTGGAAGTAAATTTCTATAAAATGTTTCTTAACAAAATTAATATAAAATTTATGCTTATTTCCCCCTATAAACTAATGCAAACTCATCACTGACCGAAAAAAGGTGCACATGCATTGCAAAAAATAAAACAAAAACTTACGAATAACTCTCGAAATCAATTTCTATTCAATCTTAATTAAAAAAAATATTTAATATTAAATTTAAGCTTATTCCCTCTCATAAACTAATGCAGTCTCATCACTGACCGAAAAAAGGTGCACATGCATTGCAAAACATAAAACAAAAACTTACGAATAACTCTCGAAGTCAATTTCTATTAACAACAAGATAAATATCTAAATCTATTATCTAACGTTAATAAAAAAATTAATAATAAATTTAAGCTTGTTTCCTTCCATAAACTAATTAAATGTGAGGTTTTCCTCACTGAAGAAAAAATGTCGTGTTGCACAGGATGCAATTCAAGCTAATTAAATGGTTAACTCATTCTTAAATGATCTCGATTTTCCATAGAGAGTAATCGCTGTACAAATAGTAATTACCAGTCAGAAAAAGGCGCACATTTATCGCGAAAAAACAGAACAAAAACTTATAACTTGCGAATTACTCTCGAAGTATATTCCTATAAAATATTTCTTAACAAAAGTAATATTAAATTTATGCGTTTTCCTCTCATCACTGACCGAAAAAAGGTGCACATGCATTGCAAAACATAAAACAAAAACTTACGAATAACTCTCGAAGTAAATTTCTATTAAATGTTACTTAGAAAATTTATAGTAAATTTAAGCTTATTTCCTTCCATAAACTAATTAAATGCAAGGTTCTCATCACTGAAGAAATATTCCCGTGTTTATTAAACAACAATATAAAGATCTAATTCTCTTATCCAATGTTAATTAGATAAGAGAATTGTTAATAAATTGATATAAAAAAGTATACTAAATTTATGCTTATTCCCTTCCATAAACTAATTAACTGCAATGGATCACTGAAGAAATAACCGCGTATTGCACAGGATGCGCTGCTGCAGGCCATAGCTGAGGAATACGTGGAGGGCGTCGAGCTGCTGCTGCACTGGGAGGAGAGACAACACGTACCCGGCGAGCTATACGTGAGTCACGTGCCTGGCGAGCTATACGTGAGTCACGTACCCGGCGAGCTATACGTGAGTCACGTGCCTGGCGAGCTATACGTGAGTCCCGTCATCACGTGCCCGGCGAGCTATACGTGAGTGCCGTCATCACGTGCCTGGCGAGCTATACGTGAGTGCCGTCATCACGTGCCCGGCGAGCTATACGTGAGTGCCGTCATCACGTGCCTGGCGAGCTATACGTGAGTGCCGTCATCACGTGCCTGGCGAGCTATACGTGAGTGCCGTCATCACGTGCCTGGCGAGCTATACGTGAGTGCCATCATCACGTGCCCGGTGTCTTTTATTAATGGCTAAACACAAGGCCATTAGATATGCATTAATTTATGATAAATGTATCGTTATGAGTAAAATTAACACTAATGATGAAGCCGAGATTAAAAAATAATATTTGACAACATCAAAACCAGTGCCGGAAGTGTGGCTCTCATCTATTAGGCGTTTAGTATCTGCATTTTATTACTTTTTTATTTAATACTAACACATGTTACGCCATGACCTTGTGATGAGTGCAGAGCTGGGAGATGATGGCGAATGATGCGGCCGTGTACACGAAGGACATCACACCCCTCATCCTAGCAGCTCATCACAACCATTACGAGATCCTTAAACTCCTGCTGGACAGGGGAGCATCCCTGCCCATGCCTCACGACATTAGGTATGGCGTCAGTGATGAATAAATCTATACCTGGCGCCATTAGGTATGATTTCATTGATAAATGAATATATACCTCATGACATTAGGTATGGTCTCATTGATAAATAAATCTATACCTCACGAAATTAGGTATGCATTCATTGATGAATAAATCTATACCTCAATATCACGAGTTTTTCCGAAACTGCTACCGAGAATCTTGCTCACTTTATAAAGCAGATGTTTCACTTGGACGGATATTTTGTCTTGCTTTGGTACTTTGGTCATACTTTTAAATATGTTCCTGAAGCGGCTATTGAATATATGTTAACGAAAATGGATTTAATAACTACTTGTTACGAACTTTGTATGTGCCTGACTTGAACCGACCGTATATTTCTGAGGTAATCCGGCTGTCTATTGAAGGTAACCAGCTGTATATTAAAGGTAACCGGCCGTGAATTACAGTATCGGCTTCTAAATATAAATTAATTACAAATAATTCAATGAGCTATTGCAATGAACATTTTACCTGCAATGAACGTTTTTTACCTGAACATTTATTATCCCTATCGGGATAATTGTTATATTCCCGACAGGTGTGGCTGCGACTCGTGCCTCGCGTCCACACGCGAAGACTCGCTCCGTCACTCGCTGTCCCGCATCAACGCGTACCGCGCCCTGGCGTCCCCGTCCCTCATCGCCCTGTCGTCCAAGGACCCGATCCTGACCGCCTTCGAGCTCTCTGCTGAGCTCTCGAGACTTGAGAGCATGGAGCATGAGTTCAAGGCTGAGTATAAGGTGAGTCAACCATGGAGCATGAGTTCAAGGCTGAGTATAAGGTGAGTCAACCATGGAGCATGAGCTCAAGGCTGAGTATAAGGTGAGTCAGTCAAGAGCATGGAGCATGAGTTCAAGGCTGAGTATAAGGTGAGTCAGTCAAGAGCATGAAGCATGAGCTCAAGGCTCAAAATGATTTCATAATAATAGTCCAGAAATTTTGAATGCCGACGACACATACATTCAAGTTACATACATCATTAGTCTGCTGAAATCCCAACTTCGCCAAGACGTTCACCGAGAATTTACTTGTCATTTTCTTTCTTTTTTTTTTAATTACAAGATTACTAATAGAGAGATTTATAAATATTATTAATGAACTAATAATATTATTAACATTATTATTATTATTATTAATAAAAAATAAATTTATTATTAATATTAATAGAGATTTTTCGCCAGAAACTGCAAGTGACAGTGCAGGAGTTCTGCACGAGGCTGCTGGACCAAGTTAGCACCCACAAGGAGCTGGCGACGCTGCTGAACTACAGCGCCGCTGACGGGGACGGGGGCCAGGCCCTCGAGTCGGAGGAGGGCGCCGTGTGCTCCCTCGCCAGGCTTAAGCTCGCCATCAAGTTCTCACAGAAGTCCGTGAGTCTTCAAAAGTTCTAAGAACTTGTTCAACTGTCGAGGAGTCTTAAAGAGTTCTAAGAACTTGTTCAGCTGTCGAGGAGTCTCAAAGTGTTCTAAGAAGGTCTTATACTTAAGAAGAATCTTCAAGTGTTCTGAGAACTCGTTCAGGTGTCGAGGAGTCTCAAAGTGTTTTAAGAACCCATTGAATAGTCAAGAAGTCTCAAGGTGTTCTAAGAACTTGTGCAATTGCTCACAAGTCTTAAAGTGGTTTTATAATTTTTCCAATTGTTCACAAGTCCCGAAATGTTCTTAGAATTTAAATTGTTCCGAAGTCTCAAAATGTTCATTGAACACATTCAACTGTTTGCAATTCTCAAAGAGTTCTTTACATATTTGTAACTGCTTACAAGTCTAGAAGAGTTTTTAGCTTTTGCACAGCAGTCATCGAGTCATGTAGTTCATGACTTCTCACAATATTTATCAATAAAAGAAAGACATCTAGAAGAGTTTTTAGCTTTTGCACAGCAGTCATCGAGTCATGTAGTTCATGACTTCTCACAATATTTATCAATAAAAGAAAGACATTCATTAGTTCATGCCTTCTCACAATATTTATCAATAAAAGAAAGACAATAATCTATTTTGCCGACAGTTCGTGGCGCACTCGAACGTCCAGCAGTTCCTAGGCAACATTTGGTACAACGGCCTGCCAGGCTTCAGGCGACTGCCGGCGCTGAGTCAGCTTATGGCTGTGCTCAAGATTGCCCTCAGCTTCCCTCTTCTCGCGCTGTCGTACATCGCTAAGCCGGAGTCACCTAAGGGAAACTTTGCTAAAAAACCATTTGTTAAATTTATCTCTCACTGCTCGTCCTATTTGTTCTTCTTATGTGAGTTGCATTACTTTTGTCGAGTTAATCAATTGGTTTGTAGAATATTTTATATTTTTTGTAAATTTTGCAAAATAATTTTCTCGATTGGTAGTTTCTCTTCTGACTTTCTATTTGTTATAACTTTGTCTTACTGTTATTTGAAATGCGTATGTTTGCATTTGTTTCCTTTTTCCTCAGTAAGTTCGAATACCTACTTTTATGCTAGTAAAAATTAATCGCTAATTATGTTATCGGTTCCTACTTGAACTTGACCGATCTATACTCGTTCTACATTTATATTAGATATTTTTTATACAACATTTTCATTTGATATTTTTGATATCACAATTTTAGTTGAATGGTGCTGATGGTGCTGATGGTGCTGGTGGTGCTGATGGTGCTGATGGTGGTGGTGGTGCTGATGGTGCTGATGGTGCTGATGGTGCTAAGTACTGCGAGCTGATTGCTCATTACATTCATCCTGTGATTACGTCCTTGGTGAGAACTGTGCTGATGGTCTGAAGGTCTATTACTACTCCCACAGACCTGATGTGGTCTGAAGTGAAGGCACTGTGGTCTAATGCTACTCTCACAGGCCTGGTGTGGTCTGAAGTGAAGGCGCTGTGGTCTGAAGGTCTATTACTACTCCCACAGGCCTGGTGTGGTCTGAAGTGAAGGCGCTGTGGTCTGAAGGTCTTTTACTTCTCCCACAGGCCTGGTGTGGTCTGAAGTGAAGGCGCTGTGGTCTGAAGGTCTTTTACTTCTCCCACAGGCCTGGTGTGGTCTGAAGTGAAGGCGCTGTGGTCTGAAGGTCTTTTACTTCTCCCACAGGCCTGGTGTGGTCTGAAGTGAAGGCGCTGTGGTCTGAAGGTCTTTTACTTCTCCCACAGGCCTGGTGTGGTCTGAAGTGAAGGCGCTGTGGTCTGAAGGTCTTTTACTTCTCCCACAGGCCTGGTGTGGTCTGAAGTGAAGGCGCTGTGGTCTGAAGGTCTTTTACTTCTCCCACAGGCCTGGTGTGGTCTGAAGTGAAGGCGCTGTGGTCTGAAGGTCTTTTACTTCTCCCACAGGCCTGGTGTGGTCTGAAGTGAAGGCGCTGTGGTCTGAAGGTCTTTTACTTCTCCCACAGGCCTGGTGTGGTCTGAAGTGAAGGCGCTGTGGTCTGAAGGTCTTTTACTTCTCCCACAGGCCTGGTGTGGTCTGAAGTGAAGGCGCTGTGGTCTGAAGGTCTTTTACTTCTCCCACAGGCCTGGTGTGGTCTGAAGTGAAGGCGCTGTGGTCTGAAGGTCTTTTACTTCTCCCACAGGCCTGGTGTGGTCTGAAGTGAAGGCGCTGTGGTCTGAAGGTCTTTTACTTCTCCCACAGGCCTGGTGTGGTCTGAAGTGAAGGCGCTGTGGTCTGAAGGTCTACTGGAATATCTCCACGACCTCATGAACATCATTGACTTCGCAACGAACGCGTTCTTCCTGGCTTGGGTGCAGCTGAGGGTGACGTCATGGGTGCTGGTGCAGCGAGACCTGCGGTGGTATGACAGGTGGCCGTGGTACCCTAGGGAGGAATGGCATGCCTATGACCCCATGTTGTTGTCTGAGGGATGCTTCGGAGCAGCTATGATCATCAGGTAATGCGATATTATTAAATAATCCGATATTTTTATCATTTATAATTAATTAATGCCTTATATATCGGCAAATAATTGAAGGTTTACGGTACTCATAATTCGTTTCAGGTCTTAATAACTTCAGATGATTATACTTTTCAGCATCCATAATTAATTTATTCTTCTTACGTCATCAGATAAATATATGTTTTTGGCATTATTAATATGTTATGCTTTATAAAATAACTACATAAATTTACATCAGGAGGTCAATTGCTATCAAGTGGTTTTATGTTCGCATCGCATATCTTGCTCTGCATCATCTGCTAACACGCTGGTGTATCTATCGTCTTTAGACTTTCTAATCGCGTTCATTACCAATTACAACCTCATGGCTCCCAATTATAAAAGGATTTACTCATTTAATAATAAAAATGAATGATAAGTATTTAATTGTCAATCAACTGCTTATTAATTATAAAAAATAAAATTGATTGATAATTAAAAATTTATACGTATAACAAAATTACTTTAGCGGGAACGAATGTATAAAATTATTTGTATATTTACTTTTTATTAATTTTCAGGGTATCTTTTTAGTGAAATTAACAATTAAGGATAACGCTCGTAGCGAAAGGTCACCTTGCTCATCTTCAGTCCCTGACTAAGCATTTCCCGACTCACTATTTGAGCCTGTCAGCTCTCTGAACCATAAGTCATACGTGTCTTCTTTGAATAATACAGGGTGTTTCAGAATTAAGTAACCCTTTTAATTTGTTAATAAATAAAAAACTAAGAACGTTATGAAGTTGAAACTTGTTTTATTTAAAAGAAGAACATTTTTATGGTAATATTGTATCCTAGTTTATTACATCAGGAGGTCAATTGCTGTCAAGTGGTTTTATGTTCGCATCGCATATCTCAATTGATCTGCATCACCTGCTAACACGCTGGTGCATGTATCCGAATCGTCTTCAGATTTTATAATCGCGTTCATTGCCAACTACAACCTCGTTGTTCACAAGTATACAAGGATTTACACATTTAGTAATAAAAATGAATGAACAGTATGTAATTATCAATCAATCGTAATTAATTATTAAAAATTAAAATAATTGATAATTACAAATTATTGTATCAAGAACGAATGTATACAATTATTTATATATTTATTTTGTTGTTTATTTTCAAGTTATCTTTTTTATTAAAATCAAAAATTAGTGATGACGCTCGTAGCGAAATGTCACCTTACTTATCAATATCTTCAGTCCCTAACTTTACATTTCTCGACTCACTATTTGACCTTATCAGCTTTCTAAACTATACGTCTTACGTGTCTTCTGTGTATAATAAAACAAATTTCTGCTTTCCCTTCATATCTTCCAGCTTCCTGAAGCTCGTGAACATCTTCAGCGTTAACCACCATCTCGGACCGCTGCAAATATCGCTCGGGCGAATGATCTTCGACATCCTGAAATTTTTCTTCCTCTACATGCTGGTGCTATTTGCTTTTGGCTGCGGTGAGCAATTTTATTGCAAGCACCATATTTGGATGATTCATTGAAATATTTTGCCAGATTTGGTGGGAATTTTACTATAGGTTGATATATATGTTGGGGTATAGTAAATACGCGAAAAAATTCCTTCAATAGGAGGATTTTTTGTGGGATGGGCATCGGAAGACTTAAACATCGCATAACAAAATTCGATTGAACTCTTGATTCACTAACGTCTTGTGATAATTCAGTGTAAATTCAACGGCAGGTTTCCAATCCATGTTTCTCAGGTCTGATCCAAATGCTGTGGTACTACGCTGACCTGGAGATGCAGCAATGCTACCATTTGCCGGGTGGGCTTCCGGACTATGAAAACCGGGAGCATTCCTGTATCAATTGGCGCCGGTTTGCTAAGTACGGTTCCGCGGCATAAAAGGATTTTTATCTCAACTTTCTGATATTCCTAATTTTAGGAATGTTAGTGTTAACCATTTTATATCCTTTTCATTGTTAAAAATACTCACTTAAAACTTTTTTAAAAATGCTCACTTTCAAATAAAACTTTCATATAAATAAAAATCATAAGAGGGCTGCTCAAAGAAGAAGTTGGTTGTCCACATAGCAACTTATAAGTAATTTAGAGTTATATGCTAATCGCCATCAGTTGCATTATACCATTTTTTATTGAAAAATTTATTTCCTCTCAATACAAATTTCTGACCTAGTTGATCGCAGTTTCACATCACATGATATATAAGAAATCGCATTTTACATCACATATTTCAGCCATTTTCAAACTGTTGTATTCGTCAGCTCGTATACATACTCTTTTATTCTGAATTTTAACTTTAATTTTGCTCTAGTCTGTTCGAGTCGTCGCAGTCGTTATTTTGGGCATCGTTCGGGCTGGTCGAGCTCGAGGCGTTCGACTTGACCGGCCTCGGCAGCTTCACGAGGTTCTGGGGGCTGTTGATGTTCGGCAGCTACTCCCTCATCAACATCATCGTGCTGCTCAACCTCCTCATCGCCATGATGTCAAACTCATACCAAATCATTTCCGTGCGTCATAAACTTCCTTTCGTTACCTATTAGGCAATTCATTTAGTTTTGCTCATATTGATGATGCACTCAAGCAATTTTGTTAATCTTCAAAACTAGTAAATAAATTCCCGAATTCTCTTTGGAATAAATTTCCTAAGCCTCTAACATCAAAAATTAGTGATGAGTGAACCTGTAAATGTCATACAGAAATTTCTATCAATTTCTTCCCAGACCCTCTCTGTTGCTATGACGAAAACACGGCACTTAAGGGATTTTTCTATGACTTTTATGTAATTTTCTGAACGAAAAATAGCAAAACAATTCCAAAGAACTTTTAAATGAATATAACATGAATATTAATAAGCAATGTATTCTACTTTATATAATATGCAATGTATTTTAAAGTTAAATAAAAAGAGCACGAATATTAACTTGCAATGTATTTACTTTCAACCCTAAATTTCACCCCCCCCCCAGGAGCGAGCGGACACCGAGTGGAAGTTTGCCCGCACGAAGCTCTGGATCAGCTACTTTGATGGTGGCTGTACGGTGCCCCCGCCCTTCAACCTCATCCCCTCCCCGAAGTGGGTCATGAGGATGCTGGGGAAGGGCCCACGTGTCATCAGGGGGAGCGTAAAGGACAAGGTAGGGAAAGGGGGAATACGGGGAGAAGGCAGGCAGGCGTAGACGATAGAAAAATTCATCTTAATTTGAAAGCTTCTCGATAATCATGATTTGGTGCCGAAAAGTCGTACAGCTTCATAATATCAATTTGAAAACTAACATGTATTTTGATCTTATATTTTTCTGCATAATTGCCTTGCTCGTCACCGAAAATTTGGAAGTTTATTTAAAAAAATCGCATATTATCAGGTTTACCTGACTGATATCAATTTCGTACGGTTTCGCTATATTTCACCTTAACTCGGTGCTGGTCGCTTGAAATTGAGAAAATTCTAAACTCTTTCAGTTTAGAAAATTCCAAACCCTTTAGAATTTAGAATTAAGAAAATTCTAAATTCTTTCTAAACTCAAATTTCCTTTAGGTTTACCCCATTTTCTGTCATACTGCATAAATATTAATTTAATTACGGATGTTCACTTTACGATATTATACTGATATTTCACTGCCTGTGCCAGAACAAGCGCCGAGCAGACCAGCAGCACCAGGACGTGATGAGGCTGATGTTACAAGTCGCTCAGTATCGTACTGGAATGAATCATAACCCTGCATTTCTTTAGGTTCCAGCTCATCGATATCCTGAAGAACAACGGAATGAACACCTCCATCGCCGCTAATGAAGATCCGAGTAAGGATCTCACATCTACATTCCAAAATTAAACTGTTTATAGGCAGTGTCGAAAATTTGTAAACGAATTTGTGTCTCCCGTCGTCAGTAATGAAATTCATTATTACACATGTACTTGGCATGACTTTTACAAAGATGCCCATAATATATATAATTTCAATCTCAGGTCAAAATGTCCCATTAATTTGTGAATTAATTCCTTCTTGTCCGAGCAGCGGTGATTGGACGCAAGGGAAGAGCAATGGAGCGAAAACTCATGAAGGGTTTCAACATCGGTCGAGTAGAAGGAATCGTCAATGAGATCCTCACCGAGACCAAAAAACCCGGCAATATTTTTGGCAAACTTGCACACGCGATTGGATCGCGTCGCAAGTCAGTCAAGACAGACTGGAACGCTAAGGTCCACAGATCTTCCATGCGACGAGACCAAATTGGTTCATCGTCCACCAGTCTCTCGCGGTCCCAAGCCTCCATCAGGAAGAGAATCCAGTTCGAGAACGAGCAGTTACTGCAGAGCATGAATCCCTCAAACATCACAGAGTACAACCCTAACGTTGGGCCGCTGTCAGATCAGACAAAAATCGCCTACGCAAAGTTCAAAATGACTACTTTGCAAGTGGAAAAAATAAAGCGAGAAAAACTGAAGAAAATAACGGAAACAAACGAGCAACGTACCGAGCTGCCAGATAGCAAGAATTCCCTCACAAAAGCGGGTTCCGCTATTCAAAATTCAATAGAAAAGCCTGCCGTTATTGCCTATGAAAACGAAATGAAGCCCAGTCAAGCTACAACTCAGTGTTCTGAACAAGAGAACCAAAGAGGACAATCAATATCGAATAAAAGTTCCAATAAGGAAGAAACGAAAAAATCTGACTCTGCTAAAAATATCTTAGACACATCTAAACCCGTTGTCAGTGCTACATCATCGATTAATTCAAAGCCAACATCCTCTGTTCCAAAAACATCAGTTTCATCTTCTGTAGGCCCATCAGAGGCTACAACATCACCTTCAGCTTCTGCTGTAACTTCTTCATCAACGTCAGCGAAAACCAAGACGCCAGCGACGTCAGCAAGTTCAGAGACGAGTTTCAAGCCTCAGCCAAAGCCTGCGGAGCTTTCCTCTTCTACTTCTTCATTAGCAGAGGACAAGTTTTCGAAGCAAACTTTAAAAATTTCATCTGAAAATGTTAAGGCAGAAGTAATACGGAGCACGCCAGCCGTGAAAATAGAACTGCCAACAACAGATGACAAGCCTGCAACGGATAAACTGCCGTCCCAGACATCAACGTCTGGAGGGACATTCAGTCCTACTGGCAAGTCCCAGTTGACGGGACAGAGTAGGACCGGTTGGATTTAAGCTTAAAAATTATTCTTGATTGTAATCATAACATAGAAGATTAATTTCTCATCTGGGCTTAAGTCCATCAGTAGGTGATATTTTTATCGAGTAAAGTTATTCGAATGCGCACTCTGATACTTTCAATTTAAATTGCACGTAAATTCGAACAAAGTATGAACGCTCTGACGACGCAGACTAACCGGCAGTAATATCCAGCATAGGTGTAGTTATTATTATGCAGCAGAGGTTTAATTAAAGCTTTTATCAGGGCGATTGTAATTAAATTGACTTTCGTTCTGGTGGAAGAAACTTTTTGGACCCAAAACTCTTTATTATTTGGTAATTTTGGCATTTATCATGAGGCTAGTCAAAGACGATGATTTCACGATGTAAAATAAAATGCAAATTGATACGCCTCATTTATTCATATAATTATAATTAATTGACATTAATTATCGCTTAAGCCATTACACAGATTTATTCATGCAATGTCCGTTCGTGTTGCAATAGTTTTTGGACATTAAATATAGTTCACCTGAAACGAAGACCACTCAAGGAATTCTTTCGTGATCCTTCAATTCACTCCTCCACCCTCATGCGCTGGCGGCCCCCAAGAACGGCTCAGGGCCTATACTTTCAAAAAAAGTTAAGAGAACGTAAGTTCATCAGCCAATCATTGACGGCCTTTCAATCAAAATCCACCAATCATAGACTAGAAAGTATAGAAATAGAGCGTAAGTACTTACATTCACTTAGCGACTTTTGAGAGTATGGCCCCCAGGACTCATACCACAAGGATGAAGGCTACATCACACTTACCACAAGGATGATGGCCACATCACACTTACCACAAGGATGAAGGCTACATCACACTTACCACAAGGATGAAGGCCGCATCACACTTACCACAAGGATGAAGGCCGCATCACACTTACTGCAAGGATGAAGGCAACATCACACTTACCACAAGGATGAAGGCAACATCACACTTACCACAAGGATGAAGGCAACATCATGATCACACTTACCACAAGGATGAAGGCCACATCACACTTACAACGCTCTATGATGAACCAGTGTTGTTAACGTAGATCTGGACCTGACTTAATTCACTATATTCACTGATGACGCTGGCTATCTCTTATCGTCAAACGATATCATTCAATTGAATGCAAGCGGTTTTTGATAGTTCAGCGAATACAGCTACTATTTAGAGTGGCATAGTGACCAAAATGCGGCAACGTGCTGCAGAGAACAATATGGTAACAATATGGCGGATTTCCATTACAATCTATTCGAGTATGAATAGTAGAACACAGAAAACAGCGGTGAATATTAGGCTTTTGATTATGTTTAAATGGCGTGGAATAATTAAACGCTGTATAATTCATCGCGCTTGAAACAGTTTTCAAGATATGCATTATTAAAACATGTGCCGCTAATTTGCTGCCATATAACTCGATACAGTTTCAATAAAAAATTTTTACCCCTGAAATTTAAATATATAAATTCTTAATACTCCCAACTTATCTACCTCGAGCTCGGTCTCATGGGCTCGCTCTCCGATCTTGAAAGAAGGCTTCTTAAGCCTTTTGCCATGAAGCAGCATCTCTGGCAAGATGGCTAAAAATGAACCACAAACCTGGCACTTCGTCTTCACACTTTCTTCCCTCGCAGCTAATTTTATTGCCACGACCCGAGACAGTAATTCGATTTACTGAGACCTGTTCCGTCGACGCCAGTTTCAGCGAGATGAAGGCTGCGCAAGTTTAGCAGCGGTGGAGTGCCTCTTTGATAAGTTCCCTAACAAAATTTAGAGTCGCCCCAGCTTCTGGTAATCCAAATCAGAAGCTGCCGCGTCTGTAAATTTTCACTGGGATTTTAGTCTATCATCGCCGACCAAGCGTCGTCCATTTAGTTGCCGGTGAATTTTTTTGGGGGTTTTCAATGATTTAATAAATTTTTCATGTATGATGTAATTACATGAACGATTTAATTCATCCACGCGTTTGTTTAACTTTCAAATTCCGTTGACTTTAAAAACACGTTCAAAATAATTTATGTTAGGAGAAAGTCAACATTCAGGAAATACTTTTTTTCTTGCATCACGGAATGTTTTATTTCTTCGCCTTTATTTCAGCGTTAGAAAAGGTTCATTTTCTACGAATATATTACAATGTTGATACAGCGATGTGCATCGCTTTGAACTTGAGAAAAATATCAGATTTTGTGATCGCAGACATAAAAAAAAACGACAAGCCCTGCCGGGCGAAGTAATCGCCTGCGTGGTATTGCTGGATCCTTGATTGCTGGCAAGGAATGGGAGCTGTAAAGAGGAATGGGAGCGGTAAAGAGGAATGGGAGCTGTAAAGAGGAATGGGAGCTGTAAAGAGGAATGGGAGCTGTAAAGAGGAATGGGAGCTGTAAAGAGGAATGGGAGCTGTAAAGAGAAATGGGAGCAGTAAAAAGAAATGGGAGCAGTAAAGAGAAATGGGAGCAGTAAAGAGGAATAAGAGCTGTAAAGGGGAATGGGAGCTGTAAAGAGGAATGGGAGTTGTAAAGAGGAATGGGAGCTGTAAAGAGGAATGAGAGCAGGAGCTGTAAAGAGGAATGGGAGCTGTAAAGAGGAATGAGAGCAGTATAGAGGAATGGGAGCTGTAAAGAGGAATGGGAGCTGTAAAGAGGAATGCGATCTATGAAGAGGAAGAGAGTTTTAAAGAGAGACGAGAGATATAACGAGAAATTAAATTGTAATTAAAGAGTAATTAGAGCTGTAAACAGTAATAAGAGCAGTAAAGAGAAATGAGAATAGTAAAGAGGGACGATAATTGTAGACAAGAATAAAGCTTTTGAAATGGATGAGAGCTGCAATGAAGAATAGAGCTGTAAAGAGGGATGAGAGATCTAAAAAGGAGTAAAAGTTGTAAACAGGAATGTGAGCTGTAAAGAGAAATGCAAGCAGTAAAAAGTATTGACAGTTATAAAGAAGGATGAATTCTGCAGCAACGAATGCGATCTGTAAAGAGGAATGAGAACTGAAGCGAATGGCATGTATTATATTATGACTTATATAACAATAATAGCGGTTTCACCGTTTATTAGGCCATAGGCCTGTCGCCGATCCTTAACATCGCAGAACATTCACAGCTTGATGCGGTCTCGAACACACAAATCACTGTTCCCATTCTGCTGTGCTTAACCGCCCGGCCTCCTTGCAGATTCTGACCAGAAACTGGCGCACAGAGCTGGGATCGAACCCGCGCCTCTCTGCNCCATGACTTGTATTGTACCCTGACTTGTATTGTACCATGACTTGTATTGCACTGCAACATTTAGCCATTTTTGGACGTCGCTCTCTCCTTTACATTGCTTGATCTCTCCTTTACTGTTTTCCATTCTTCGGCCCTGCAATTTGGTCCATGGCGACGAGCCTGAAAGCAATTAACGAAGTTTATACAAGGCATTAAAGGAGTGATAAGTTGGGACCGAAGCAAAGAGGATAATTAGCACTTTTACTTTTTCTTTTCCAAAGCGAAATTTTTAGGCAAGTTTTGCAGGGTCAAAGGCCAGAATATTCGGTAATTAAACCCCCCGTTTCCATTATCTATGCCATTATAATCCTACTTGTACGACTGGACTTTCACGTGCATTCTAAAATGTACGTGAATTCGCTGCAGGTAATGTAACCTGTTGCAGCGAACTAAGTACAAGTTCCAGTACAAAGAAAAAATATAATTCAGTACTCACTGCAGTGAGTGACAGAGAGCGCATTTTCTCGTCGACGAAAACGTGAAGTCACGGATGGACGGACGGACGTAGACAGACGAACAGACAGACGGACATGACGAGCAGAATAGTGCATTTTTTCCATACATGAGAAAAGGCGTCAGAAATAAAATTGCATAGTTGAAAACAGCAGGATAGAAATACAAATTTTCATCTCCAGAATGTTGCATATACGCTTCGGCTAGAAGATTTTGCCCTCATATATAACATTAGGCATTCCAGACTTCCAAAAATGACTTAATTTCCTATTAATTAGGCAAATCATTAAAGAATAAAATTAACCGCATCTTAAATTTTTTATTCAACTTGTATTTTGCCTGCTACATACCGGCTATCATATTTTGCGGTCAAAATGTTTCGTTTTGAGAAATTGACATCGAAAGTTGACATACGAATATCATCCATAGTTGAGTTTCAACAAGATTTCCGTGCTCGATACCGCGACGTAATATAGTGAACGCTCGACGCCGCGACGTAATATAGTGAACGCTCGACGCCGCGACATAATATAGTGAACGCTCGACGCCGCGACGTAATATAGTGAACGACCGACGCAACGACGAAATATAGTGAACGCTCGACGCCGCGACGTAATATAATGAACGACCGACGCAACGACGAAATATAGTGAACGCNGTAATATAGTGAACGCTCGACGCTGCGATGTAATATAATGAACGCTCGACGCCACGACGTAATATAGTGAACGCTCGACGCCACGACGTAATATAATGAACGCTCGACGCCACGACGTAATATAGTGAACGCTCGACGTAATGCCCATGCTGAAGAGAGCATTTTATTCTCAAGACAAGCTACGTAGACTAAAAAAAATGAGACTCGCATCTTTTACATTTAAATAAATGAAATAATCTGCCAATTTTTTGTCAGTAAATCCGACAATAACCAAGAACTGATTAAATGCTGTTGCTAACAAACGGTGTGTATACAATCCGGTGGCAACACAAGGGATTTGTTACGAACACATTTAGCTTTGAATATATTATAGTTTAATTCTCTTAGTGCTTCAGTCCTTCACTTCAGTGAGTCATTCTTTTAAAATCCTTGGCAATGAATGCTGGCGGAAAACTTCAGTCTGTTTTCGCGTAGATTCCTCTGAGACAACAGAAAAATGGTGAACATAAAATGACAATAGGGATAAAAAATGGACGAAGGCTCATGGCTCGCTGCCTCAAATAACTGGCATTTGATGGCAGCCATTAAATGGGGACCTGCTATACAATGGTGGGCGTCTATAGTGGAACCGAAAAATATAAAACGGCCCGTGGCTTGGCAAAGGACGGAATCATAAGATTGCCATAAGATTGCAGTTAAATTGCGACAGGCCAACTTGGCCTATTCTTCAACGCTGATGTTGCAATGCTATGATAAAATTTCTCTTATATTTTAAATACGAAGAAATTTTAATTCCAATGTTCGATAAATGATTAGGTTTGAAGCAGATTAGCTGTTGCATGCATGCTGGCTGATTTTGCTAAATTTGCTTGAGGCTGGAAATAAAGCAGTTGCATTAAAATTTCCTAATTAGAACAAGATATTTATGGGTTAACTATTAATGCAGTTTAAAATTGAGAATAGTTAAAGGTCGTGCAAGAAGATGGTTAACGTCACTCAAATCAGTCACTGCAATAACGTACAATAAAACGCTAATTACATACATGGTGCTTGGTTGTGGTGATAATGGCG